CCCGTTTGCGCGTAGCATGTACTTGCCGACTTTGCCTGAGACGTCCTTTTTCCATCCTCCCCACAGTCCGGAGTTAGCTCCAAGTGATTTTTGCTTGTTCACACACTTGAAGCAGTTTTGGGTTGCACGCGCATGCGTAGAGATGAAAAAGTGAAGAAGACTATTAAGGACTGGTTCAATGGACTGGCGGCAGAACTCTACGATGCAGGCGTGCAGAAACTCGTCACACGATGATATTAGGTCTGTGTTAAAACTAAACTTCGTGGCTTGTATTCCGCAAGCGAACTATACTGACCAAGCGACCGCCGCTTGTCGGCGATGTTAGTGCCAACTTTATCGGATAGAGGGTGTCGCGTGGTCAGCGCAACGAATCCCCACGGCCGTTAATCTCGGGTTTCGAGACCGGAGCTGCTATTTCCTTGTAAAAGCTTAATTATCCTCACGAGGCTGAGTGGATCCCGTTCCAGACTCACTACTTCTCAGAAAATATGTTAGCGCCGGGAATCGAACCCAGACCTCTGGATCTGTAGCCAGGATCTCTGACCACTAGACCACAGAGGATACCTAGTAATGATGTAAAATATTTTTTTTAAATTTCATTCGTTTATTTTTTTAATCACCGAATGGCCTTTTTGTGGACGGCCTACGTAAATACGAGGCGAAGCGGGCGTGAGCCACATTGTTCATTGTAATATGGAGCAGAGTCCTTGAGAAGCTAACAGTCGAGCCATTAGTCAAAAAAATTCCGCGTGTTTTATGGAACTCGTGCGTTCATTACCGTACTCTTAACAGCCTGTAGCTGTTATCCGGGGCACGTGGTAGCGTAGTTCGTTGAGGCACTATGCTACAAGCGGGAACTACCAACTACACCAACCCACCTGGTGTATGGTGGGCAGTATTCCTGCTTCACATTCAGGTAGTCCTGTGTTTGTATCTCTGCCTGGGGACCATCTGTTGACTGGTTTTCGCAGCTTCAGTCCCTCCAGACGCATGCTGGGATAGTACCTGAAAGTCCACCTGCGCTGTGAACCAGGATACGTCATAACCTGTGTATGCAACTGTACGGAAGAAAATCTCTGTCTAGGTATATCTGAATTTCCCATCATCATATGCTACAGGCTGGAAGGTCACAGGTTCGATCCCGATGAATTAATTAGATAATTTTCCTGGGGAGTAAAGCACGGCCGGCCAGTCGCGGTAGCCGAGCGGTCTAAGGCATGTATTGTCATCGCTCGCTTAGAAACCGAGATCGTGGGTTCGAATCCCACTTAGGGCATGGATGTTTAGTTTGTGTGTGTGCGTTTTTCTGTGTTTGTGTACAGGTAGAGGCCTTGCGACGAGCTGATCACCCGCCCAAGGAGTCCTACCGAATGTGTAAGATCTAGAAAAACCGAAGTGAACGGAGAAGTTCATGGAGGTAGGCCTAGGCCTACTGGTGCTGTAGTGCCAAGAAAAAAAAAAAGCGCGGCCGGCGCGTAAGGCTGACAACCGTCCCGCCATCTGTGAGCCGATTGTCTAGAAAATGTGGGGGCCTCGACGTCTCACAACCCTATGGGCCTCCCCGGCCTGTTACAGGGATAGTTTTACCTTTACCTTTACCTTTAATATTATCCTCCCACCTGCCCCTAGGTATTGCACTGTATAGATTTTCATATTTACCGTGTTACATAATGTCTTTTAATATATATAAAGTTAGGCCGCACGAGGAACGCATAAATTTACAAACCTTGTAGCGTAACATGACATTTTATTCCTTAACATCGTCTGCAGTGTCGTTAAACTACATCTGTTACATTGTACTTTTTTGGGGGGGGGGATTCGCATTATTTCAGAGTTTGCATAAAATGAGATTCTCATATCGTTCTATTTCGAATTCACATAAAATGGACTGCACTGTTTGTGGAAAATGCAGTGTGTCCGGCAGTCGACGCCGTGTACAGATTGTACCACGGCAGCTTAGTCTCTTGTGTGGCCGCCAGTTTATCCCTCGCAGTCCGAGTGTTTCTCTCTCTGCGCCCATCGCGACCCACAAACAGCCCAGCTGTCAGGGGTCACGGTCAGGTCCTGCTGGCTTCTGACCTCTCAACCTGAAAGCGTTCATGATTTAAGCTCATCAGAGACATGTGGACACTGAGTGACACAGTGGTTCGAAATATTCAGCTCTCTTGAGTCTCTCGCGTCACAAATTGCCCAATGAGAATGAGATGGGCGGAGCATGCAGGACGCATTGGAGAGATGAGAAATGTTTTGAGAATCTTCGGGGTTTTGATTCTCACAGCGGTGGCTGAAGCGTGCCGACTTCCTCGGTGTGACAGCGTGTAGACCAATAGAGGTCCACAGACATCTTGAAAAAAGATTCTGCTGCTGCCATCTTCAGGATAGAAGTGTAAGCTGAACGTGGAAACGTGGTACTTCACAGCGTTCCCGTTATTCCTGTTGGTTCCCCCATAGCCCCGATCCGAGCCTTCACTATATCTGTACCATTTGTTCCATACACTGTTTAGTCTTCTCTCCTTAAGATGTAGACATCAGCTTAGGACGTTGTTAACAATCTACCAGACTACACGGCGGTTTTATGCAAGCTTATTGTTTGCTCTAACGATTATCCACATATTCTGTTGATATTTTTCTGTTCACTAACTACTTCAAAGCAACGCCACTGCTCACACACAGCACTCACGTCTTAATTTCACTGCACTTCACGGAACACTGACCGACTGGCTCATGACCAGATATTTATTAGTGTTTGGCATTTACGGTCTTGTTTTTGTGGGGCGCCCTCTCTGACGAGAGGACAGATCTGCCTTTTGTATATGCTGCTGGCCCTTGCCAGTGCAGTCTTTCTCGGGTCTGAGTCCGTTGGGACTCTTTACTGTCTCAGATTTGAGACTTCCCTTTTCGTCGCCTCTTACGACTCGCAGGGTCACGTTGGAGGTATTCGACCCCGCCTCCACACGGGGATCTGGTCTGGACTAGCTTCCGATTTATATACGCACGTCATATACAGGATGTTTTTAATAAACTTGACGCGTTTACGGTTCTGCGCTTCACTGGAGCACCGCCGGCCTCGACGCCCACACGAATTTTACCGATGATTCAGCATGCCGGTAACATTCGGAATGAAGGGAAACTCTTACCTTTGTTCACAGTTGAAAATACTGTCTCTGTACACGTAGACATACCTCACACCAGGGGAAGAGGTTTTGATTTACCTTCTGAAGATGTTCTGCATTAATATTTGAAATTTCCGTACGAATGTTTTGTTTCATTTCTTCTGTTGGAGGGTTATTGCTGTAAACTTTGTCCTTAAAACAACTCCAGAAGAAAAAATCACAAGGATTGAGATCAGGTGAACATGGTGGCCAGATACCACTGTTGATAATTGTGTCCCCGGAGACATACATGCAGTGTGGGCAGTATTATTTTTTTTATTGCTAGTGGGGTGGGACTAAGTCCCTTGTACTGCGGCCACTTCTGGCCTATTGTACCAGCCCCAGTTGATAGGTGAGGGTGATTGTGGAGCAGTTGGTGGAATGAAGATTGGCAGGGGAAACTGAAGTACTCGGAGAAAACCTGCCCCAGCTCCACTTTACCAGACCCGGGATTGAATGCGGGCCGCCACGGTGGGAAGCTAGCGACTAACCGCTTGAGCTATGGCGCGGCCAGTGTGGGCAGTAGCTGTGTGTTGCTGAAACTAGCCATAGAGTCTTTATTCTCTTAATTATGGGAATAATTGCTCAAGAAGAAAGAACCTGTTCATATTTTTCGCAATTAATTATTTCGTTAAAATCACACGTCCAACAATCCTTGGACTTCCAGCACACCAGACACCAACTTTCACTGGAAGGAGCGGGACTTCGTGGGTTAGATGTGGATTTTGTGAACTCCAGTAACGATTATTTGTGCATTTATATATCCCTGCAAGTGAAGCCATTCTTCATCAGAATAGAATGTCAATTGCAGATCGATTTCACCTTTGACGACAGACTGTAGAAACCAACTGCAAAACCGAACCCTGCTAGCTGGTTCGCGCGCCTGCAAGGCGTGGATTACTGTTGTTTTGTAGGGTATAAGCTTCAGCAAGTGTGTTGCCGTTCTTGCACTAGACTTTGACACTCCAGTCTCTTGAGTTAGGCGTTTCAGTGATTTTCTAGGTGTATGGGTGTATGTTCAAGTCTGGCTCCTATGTCATCTAACCTCTCCTCGGTAAGGACTCGACGCGTATGTTTCATTTTGTCTATGACAAGTCCCGTTCTAAATTTATTCACAAGATTATGAATTGTTTGTCTGCTGGGAACTTTCATCACGAAATTTTCGTCGATACTTTCCAGCAGATCCGTATTTCACGTAGATGTCATACAGAAATACACATTGCTCTGAAGTATGGCGAACCGTGTTGTACCACACTGCTGACTGTTAACAAGTGGCTCATGGCGCTGATAACTACTGCCTACTGCACACAAATCATAAACAAATTCCCATAATTGAACCGCACTGCCTGGCGTGTAACATAATGCTGTGTAGAGGTCTACAAGTTAATTATTTTCCTTCATTCCAAACGTTATCGGCCATCAAGCATGCCGAGTCATTGGGAAAAATCGCGTGCGCTTCGCGGCCGGCGATGCATCGGTCGCGGTTAATGCGTCAAGTTACTAAAGATATCCCCTGTATAAGGGAGATTATCACATCCGATACATTGCCGTAGCATTAATGCTATGTGCTCCCATCTTACATTCATCAGAATTAAACCTCTTGTTATGTAAGCGCCCCCAACTCAACTTGCATTTAATTAGACAATAAAGATTCTGCGGCCCTTGTCCACATTGATTCACAAAGTTCGTTACCTAATGTGAATCGTGAGCATCCAGGCTAGTGAGCACTGTTCAGGCCCTGTTCAGTGTCCATGCACGGAACTGAGAGGCTGGTGTGTCATCCCAATTCTTTGGCTGCACTTCATAATTCAGAGAGGCATATAAATGAAGTAGTGGATATTGTTGCAGGTTTTGTGGTCGTGCGAGATGATGGCTCGTTGCAGATGGCTGGCCTGGAGGCAGAATGGCAGACATTGCTGGCACATTATGCTGGCGTGGTAGCCGTCGTGGCTGTCGGGCTGCTGTTTGTGGTCCTCATGCCATGCATTGGCTTCATCTTCTGCTGCTGCAGGTGCTCTGGGCGCTGTGGGGCCAGATCACAGCCGTTCGAGAAGCGACGGGATCCCTGCAAGCGAATCAGCTTTGGTATCATGCTTGCAGCCATCACCATCATCATTCTGTAAGTTGAGCATGGAAGTGGCTTTTCATGAAATTGGCTGAGCAGGTTGATTCAAGCTGTAATGTGTCTGACCTGGACACTAGAGGTGTCTGGTTCAAGTCTTGGCTGTGATACTAAACCTCACTGAGGACTTTTGTGGCTTTTGTCTTTCCCTCCAAGCAAATGTCAGGGTACGCTCTTGAATTTAGGCTAATAACCACTTCTTTCCACATATGTTTGTAATTCATTATTCACTGCTATTGGAGCATTTGCCACTGTATAGTCTGATTTATTGACATTGTTATTACTTGTAACTTCATGGAGATGAGCCCTTCTCAAGAAGCCACCAATTCTGCAACTACTCAAAACTTCCCAGCATTTTATGGAACTTGAAGGTTCATTACTGTGTACATGAGCCTTCCACTGGTCCCTGTTCTGAACAAGATCAAGGCAGTCCATACCACCCCATCCTGTCTGTTGAAGATCCAGTTTAATATCAGCTTATATTCTGATATTTATTTTGCAGCTGTCATGAGTGAACGTGTCCTATACAGATTTTATACAGCTCATGTACAAAATCTTGCTTAGCTGAGGTTGTTTGTCCAAGGAATCCATCCAGGTCCAAGGGGCTTTGTGATATTTTATGGCAATTTTTTAAAGGTGAATTGTTAGCCTCAAGCAAGAGGACCACTCCTTGTCACCTGTGTGTTACTGCTTATTCAGTATATTCACAGCTACCTATGCTACAAGCCGGAAGGTCACAGGTTCTAGTCCCGATGAGGTCATTGGATTTTTTCAATTGACGTAATCCTTCCGGCCACACTAGGCCCTGAAGCTTACTCAGCGTCTAACAAAAATGACTACCAGGAATTAATTAAATAATTTTCCTGGGATGTAAAGCGCAGCCGGTGCGTAAGGCTGACGACCTTACTGACATCTTTGAGCCAATTGTCAAGGTAATGTGGGACCCTAACGTCTCACAACCCTGTGGGCCTTCACGGCCTGTTACAGGGATAGCTTTACTTTTTTTTTTTACCCTCCATATCTGGGGGGCACCTCCTCCATTCACAACATGAGGGTGCTCTATGCCGTCATGATAAGGGACACACCTAACGCGAAATGTCATTACATAAAGTGCAGATAAATACAATTGTTAAAAATCTAGGTAGGGGTCATCAAACAGTATTAGATGGAAGGGCATGTAGCATTCATGGAGGAGGTTAAGGCACACACACACGCAAAATTGAGAGAGACCCCCCTTCTGGGAGGCATCTTGCTTCTCCCCCCCCCCCCCCCCCNNNCACGATTTTTTTCTGGGATGTTCTGTTCTGCCTCATCACCTTTCCTCCCTGTACACTGGCCTCATCCTTGTTTATTGTCACAGCTCTTGTTGGCTGACCCACAGCACTAGTTTGTCCTCACTGTGCCACTGCACTGTGCTTGCTTGCAGGTTTGGAGTGGTTTGTGCCTTCGTCACCAATGAGTACATGGAAGACGGAACTCAGAAGCTGCCGTCTAGACTGAGGGCGTCTGTCAGTGACACAAAACTGTACCTGTCAAATACACAAGAGGTAAGCACTCCCTTGTCCTCCCTCTTTTAGACCCCCTCCTCCTTGCAGAGCTTCCATTTTATACAGGTAAATGGACTAAAGGACTCCAGTCTCTTGTTTCTGACCACATTGTTTCCATTTTGTTTGGTTGCATGTCTTTTCCACTCTTGATATCTGCCAGTAACTGGCTGAACCATGCTTCAGATTGTCCCACAGGTCTCATTTTTCTTTATTTTATTTCAAATGCCTTTCTTGGTATCCTGTTCCATCCATTCTCTTTGCATGGCTGAACATTTGTAATCATTTCTCTTCTGATGATAACAAATTTTCAGTTCCAGATGCTTCTCTAAGAATATAACTTCTGATTTTCTCCCATCTTGTTCTCCCGTCAACACTGCTAAAAGCTTTGTATTCATTGCTTAGACTTCACTTCCTTCACTCTTTTTAAAGGTTCGTGTTTCAGCATTGTTTTACTTTATTGCTAGTGGGGTGGGACTAAGTCCCTTGTACTGTGGCCACTTCTGGCCTATTGTACCAGCCCCAGATGATAGGTGAGGGTGATTTTGGAGCAATTGGTGGAATGAAGATTGGCAGGGGAAACCGAAGTACTCGGAGAAAACCTGCCCTAGCACCATTTTGTACACCACAAATCCCACTTGACCAAACCCGGGATCAAACCTGGGCCACCACGGTGGGAAGCCATCGACTAACTGCTTGAGCTAGCGCGGCCCTGCATTATATATTAATATAAGTTTAAAGTTTGCTTTGTAGACTGTTCTGCATTCCATTTACAGTAAGTACATGGCTATAATGTGACTTAATAAGGTCCCTTGGAATCATGAAGTGAGCAGCTTTCTCTGTAAAAGTGTCAGACTGTCTTTGTTTGGGAATCACTGAACATGAAGTTGGGCGTAAGTTATGGGACTCCTACCATTCAGTCTAGTAGTGAACTCCACCTGATGATGGTCACTTTATTTACATTTATTTTCATTGTTCTCCTCTGTTAGGCTCATTGGGCTTTTTGTCTTCTCGCCTCTCTTCTCCCCATCGCTTTACTTTAGAAATGATGCCAGGGGTTGCATTTGCCATTCTCACAGCTGTGACTGTGAAGAGTATTGCATTATGAGTTTGACACTGTGAAGTCCAGTAGAAGTTCACTGACATTTTGGAGGAATATCTCAGCTCTCTTCTTGCTTAGCATATCTTCGACCACGAAGATGGAGGTAGTGTGTTTCGCTTAGTGGGGGGTGGAGTCCAACTGGGTCCACTCGGTACGGCGGCCACTGATTGGCCTATTGTAGCCTGCCCTGGGTGATTATGATGATGGAGAATTGGTGGAATGAAGATTGGCAGGGGAAACCGAAGTACTTGGAGAAAACCCGTCTCAGCGCCACTTTGTCCACCAGAAACCCCACTTGACCAAACCCGGGATCAAACCCAGCCGCCGAGTTGGGAAGCCGGCGACTAACTGCTTGAGCTATGGCGCGGCCCTAAGAGGCAGTGTGTTACTCTGCAATGTTATTAAATTTCTGCTGGATTATACATACTACATTTCGCAAGATGGTAAGTCTTTATACCAGGCAGGTGCTCCCTCATGTGTGCTGGTAATGCTGACTGGTCTGAAGTGTTTTTTGAACAGCAAAAGAGAGTTTTGGTTATAACTATTGTGTTGTCTCATTTTTTGTTTTATCTGGTGAAATGTAACCTACAACATTGCCTTGTTGAATAGTCTCATTGTCTTGGCTCTTAACACCTTCCAGCAACACATCCCAAAAGGTGAGAGAGTCTTCAGAGTCACTGCTATGAGAACCTCAAATACAACTTGTGTTTTTTAATCAATTCCATTAACACATTGAAACCTTAAATTGGTCTAAATGATGTTTGGAAACTATGTTCCCATGTCACAAGAAAGAAAGTATGTCTCCATTACAGAGACCATCTGGTGTGTACTGTCTGTGGAAATAATGGCTCTTTATTGTGAGAATGAACATGTAATTACTCTGTGTGGGCAGTCTGCAGAGTTCTTGAATATTCAAGCACATGGTACACATAGTTATGACTGTGCTTAAATGTTTAGCAGGATTACCCTGTAATGTGATACATGGAACTAGAATTATTTTGGTGTAATATTAACTTGTACAGGGTTATGTTCAATGTTCACTGGGGGTTTGTGAGAACATGGTGCTGACGGCGATATTTGGGACCTATGCTAGAGGAAGTGACAGGAGACTGGAAAAAACTGCATAATTGGGAGCTTCATAATTTGTGCCCTTCACCAGATATTATTAGGATAATGAGATTTATGGAGAATGTGTTGAGTGGGACATGTAGTATGTATGAGAGAGACTAGAAGTCCATACAAAATTTTAGTCAGGAAATATGAAGAGAAGAGTCCACTTTGGAGTCCTGATGACAGTGGGAGAATAAAATTAAAATGGTAAATTCACTGCACTAGCTGAAGTTCTGTGTGGAGATTTGGATAGGCTCCATGGAATGGATCCTAAAGAATGGGTTTCATTTTTATATCAGTTAGTTTATGACATTACCAGTACCTGGATTATGTCACTTTGAATGGCAAGGTGACGGGTGAATTGGAAAGGATTGGAAGGAAATGGTTGTGGTCTTATTGAGATACTGTCCTAGCATGTATCTGGATGGTCTGAGGAAAAAAAAAAATCACAGTCAGGGTGTCAGGTGTTCAGCTAAGATTCAAATCACACACTTTACAAATATGTGTCAAGAGCATTACCGCTGTGTTAGCCTGTTGACCAGAAATACAACAGTTGCTTTAATCAGAATGAGACAACGAAGGAGTCTAACCAAAATTAATTCAGCTAGGGTGAAAACCCACCAAATATAATATGTGTATGAGTGTAAAGACACGCCTTCATCATGAAGCTGCAGGCACTGCATGCATAACCAGCAGTTCAGCTGTTACATTGTCCAGCAGATGTGAAGTGGTTGTTTGGTTAGTTTGTCTGTCGCTGGAAGGTAAAGGGGAGGGGCTGTGAATTGTGGCACAGTTCAGATATTTGGGAATGACAGTAAGAAATCAAAATTTGATTCAGGAGGAAATTAAGAGGAGATTGAATTTGGATAATGCTTGGTGCCATTCAGTCCAGAACCATTTGTCTTCTCATCTGCTGCCTAAAAGCGTAACGTTAGAGTATACAAAACTATAATTTTGCCTGTGGTTCTCTAGGGGGGGGGGTCATGTGGTAGTGTAGTTGACTAAGACACTATGCTACAAGCCAGGTCATGGGTTTAAGTCCCAATGAGGTAGATTTTTTTCAATTTACCTAATCCTTCCAGCTGCACAATGGCCCTGGGGTCAACTCAGCCTCTACCAGAAGTGAGTACCAGGAATCTTCTTGGGGAGTAAGAGGTGATTAGTGTGTAAGGCTGACAAACTTACCACCATCTGTGGGCCAACTGTCTAGACAAAATGTGGGAGCCTCAAGGTCTCACAGCCCTATGGGCCTTCAGGGCCTCTTACAGGGATAGCTTTACCTTTTTTTTTTTTTTTTTTGATGTGTGTGTGTGTGTGAAACTTGGGCTTTGACAGTAAGAGAAGAACATGGACTGGGATTGTTTAAGGATAGAGTGCTGAGGAATATATTTGGACTGAAGAGAGATGAAGTGACAGGAGGTTGGAGAGAACCGCATAATGAGGAGCTTCATAACTTGTACTTTTCACCAAGTCTAATTACAATGATCAAGTCAAGGAGGATGAGATGGGCAGTGCATGTAGCACGAATGGGAGAGAAGAGGGATGCATATAGGATATTTGTGGGGAAGCCAGAAGGAAAGAGACCGTTAGGAAGACTTAATACAATAGTTGAGTGGATAATATTAAAATTGCTCTTAGAGAGATAGGATGGGGTGGTATGGACTGGATTGATCTGGCTGAGGATAGGGACCAGTGGAGGGCTCTTGTGAAGATTGTAATGAACCTTCGAGTTCCAGAAAATGCTGGAAAGTTCTTGAATAGTTGCATAACTGGCAGCCTCTGAAGAGGGGCTCAGCTTCATATCTGGTGATGCAGTTGTGCAGTAATAGCAGCTTCAGTTTCTGAACCAAGTCCCTGAAGTTTCTACTCCAGCAGAGATAGGAGCAGAATAAGTTGATGTCTCTAATTTTGTATAGCTTGAAGATTTACTGTCTTCTGTGATGTAACTCCACGTAGTCTGGTAGATATTTACCCGTTTTTTGGAGGTGACTGCTGCCTCTGTCTGCTTGATGTCACCTTACAGAAGGCACCTCTCTTCATAGTCACTGCCTGAGAATGACATATCACAGTTTTGGAGTCCCCTTTAAATGGAATTGCATATGTAGTTATAGTGACTGTGGTTAGTGCTGAAAGGGTTACTATTAGTCCTGTAATGATGACAGTTAGTGTTGCCACATGCTGCGTCTAATTTATGACCATGTACTGAACTTGTACAGGCACATGTGATGATACTTGTCACAAGTTCAGGAGCAGATCAGGCACATGCTCTCCTTGCAGCAGCTTCTTTGTAGCCAATCTATTTGTAAAAAAGGGATTGACTGATTTTTTAGGGGGGGGGTATTTTGCATTGAAGAAAGCAGTCTTCTGGGATTTGGCACCGTGTATATGTGGTGTTAACCGACGTTTCGGAGGAACGTATCGCCCCCATCTTCAGGGTTGAAGAAGTATAAGTAAATCTGCAAGCGACAACACCGTGAGACACGGTCAAGCAGACCGGTCTGCTTGACTGCTCGGTTAACACCACATATACACGGTGCCAAATCCCAGAAGACTGCTTTCTTCATAGTCACCGCTGTGAAAGCCTCAAATCTTACGTATTTTGCATTGTTTGGAAGAGCCCCATGTTGCTCCTAGGCCACAGTTTGTTACACATCTGCTGCAAAGTGTTAAACAATGGGATTGTTAGTGAATGATGAATTAGAAACAGTGTGGAAGGGAGGGCTCATGACGTGGGGGGCACTATCCTGGTATTTGCTTGGGGGTAGGGGGATGGTGGAACTTCGCAGTAACCTCTTGTCAGGATAGCCAGTCTCATTGTCCCCATACATTCTACATGTACTGCACATCTCATCATGGTTGCTTTTATCTCCCTAATAATGTCTGGCAAAGAGTACAAACTACCAAGCTCCATTATGCTGTCATTTCCTTCCCCTCAGCACCCTCAGTCTGTGTTCTTTTGTGTGGGTTGAGACACACAGAGATTAGTTTCCCCCTACAAAAGATTACTGTTGTTAGTAGCAAGTTGGTGACAGTGCCCACCCTCAACACAGGAAGTGTGTATGTATGTAATGTTTGTGTCCCTGGTACACACACAGACAGTTTTCACCCTCTTTGTTTATTTTAATTGTGGGTGAAATATTTACTTTCTGCCTCTCTCTCTTGTGACATTGCTTGGTTGTCCCTCACTACCCTGCCACATATGTTGGGATTACAAACATGTCTGCCAGCTCTTGAAATTGATTTTATGTATTCCAGATGGCAGTTCTGTTTGAGTAACAAATGTGGCATTATGCTGCAGGCAGTTATTTCCATCTGCTGGTATCTAGCTTGATTACATGTATAGAGCAGTACCTTAGCACTTCCAGGCCTAAAGTTCATCTAAATAATATATATACATTCGGTTCATTGCTCACAGGAAATGCGCTGGTGGCCATGCTGAGGTCAAACCCCTTAATACTTTTAGGGAAACACAGAAGACAAGGCTTAGAGCACTGTAACATTAAAGCAAGTGGGGCATGTACTAACCACTGTACTTTTTAAATGGTTGAGGGTGTAGGGACACAGTAACCACATAGACTTTATGTGCCTTTGGCAAGGGTGATCAAAGTCTTGGCCATAACCCAAACATTGATTTTCATTCTGTCTGTGAATGAGGTCAGGCTGAGGAGAAGTGGCATTATGCATTTGAACATACTGGAATGGAACTAGGGACATGTAAGGGTTAAGAAGGTAACAAGTAAATTTGTCTGTACACTTAATTAAACATAATGCCATAAAGATGTATTAGGAGATTGGAGGTATAGATCCACATATTCTTAACTTCAGCAATAAGTGACGTGGGTAGTCAGCTTCATGCTTTGATCATTTTACCTCCAGAAACAAGCCTCCAGGCCAACTGGACCCCAGAGCCTATCTAGACAGTATGGAGAAGACAAAAAACATCTTACCCATGCCAGAAACCAAACCCTAATTCCTTTACCATTCAGCCAATAGCTCATCACTATACAGGCTGAGCTACCATGACCGTCATATAATGGTTATATAGCAGTAAATTCGTTTTATTTGGTTACTGTCCTTTCCAGGTTGCGGATTCAAGTCCCGATGAGGTTATTGGATTTTTTCAATTGACCTAATCCTTCCAGCCGCACTTTGGTCCTGGGGTCGACTCAGCCTCTAACAGAAATGAGTACCAGGAATTAATTAAATACTTTTCCTGGGGAGCAAAGCGCGGCTGGCGCATAAGGCTGACAACCTTACCACCATCTTTGAGCTGATTATCTGGATAATGTGGGATCGTCAACGTCTCACAACCCTATGGGTCTTCACGGCCTGTTACAGGGATACCTTTACTTACTTTTACTGTGCTTTTCTCCACAGTAAGCATGGTTACTGTACCACTGTGGCATGATCGCATAAGCTTGTTTGTAAAAGCGTGGTGCGCAGCAAGATGGCAGCATTAGCATTGAGATGAGAAAGGCTTTCTGTTGTGTGCCCTGTCCAATGATGCCTCAGTTTGTATAGGCCAGTATAGCTCTGAACAAATGTTCAGCAGAGGTTTCTTTCTGTGTGGAATTTTATCAGGATGATGAAGTTCAGGGCAGATGGGTTGGAGCATGTAGCACAGCTGAGGTGGCAGAGAAACTTCTACAAAGTTTTAATTGAAAATCCTTAAGGGAATAGACCACCAGCAAGATGTAGCTGTAGATGGGAGAATAATATAAAAGTGTGTGTGATCCTAGGTTCGTAGAATCTTGAGTATGTGGGCTGAATTCGTTTGACTCCAGGTAGGATACAGTGGTGGGCTGTTGTGAGCGTGGTAATGAATTTAAATGTTCCATAAAATGTAGGGAGTTTCTTGGATACCTGAATGACTATCAGCTTCTGAAGGACTCAGCTGCATGAGTTAGTTGTGACAGTTCTGTGTAATGTTGATGTAATTGCCAGCATTTATTTCTGTCTTGCAGGAAGTTGACACATTGCTAATTACAAATTTTGGGGAACTGAAAACTGTTATGGACAACGTCTTGCAGAGTGAGTATGAGATTTATACTTATTTCTTTATTCTCGCTGTAATTTCAGTTTATTGAGTGGGGTATGTGCAGATGGTCCAACCTGTGTAGTCCTTTGTTATTTTGATGTAGTAGCCTGCTGGCAGTAAAATGTTTAGCAGTACCTTGTTAACTGCACGTTTAAATGCTACAAGCTGGAAGTTCATGGGTTCGATTCCCGATGAAGCCATTGGATTTTTTACTTGTCGTGATCCAGCCGCACAATGGCTCTGGGGTCAACTCAGCCTCTAGCATGAGGCTGACAACCTGATCGTCATCTGTAAGCTGATTGTGTAGGAAATGTAGAAGCCTCAACATCTCAACCGTATGGGCCTCCATGGCTTTACCCTTTACCATTTATGTGGCTTTCCTTTTATATCAGCTTTGTCCTCTGTGATATGTAGTTCTGTATGTCCATACTTTGTAATTGATGTAGACACTTCCAAGGAACGTGCAGCTGCTACATCGGTACAGGCTGGGGATGGCTGTCATGGCATCCAGAGCCAGTATGTAGCTTCCAGGTTACTATTTCAGTGCTTCTTTTTCTGACACTTTTGTTGACACAATATGTTGTTACATATTTTCTTTTCTGTTTAGTGAAGACAGGTTTGGTTTCGATGAATGCACACAGTGTCTGTGTTTCCCCTAACTGCATGTTTGCCGCATAATTTCATCCTCACAATTCCCAGGTTTTCCAAGTTTGCAATTTTTTAAGGAACATAACTTCTATGGTTGGCAAGGGATTGTCATATGCCTTCCCACAGGCCAGATCTGTACATTCATAATGCTTTTTGGCAGAACTTCAGAACAGTAGATGTATATTGCCAATGGTTAAGGTAATGTAGTTTGTCCTTCTGGCTAATTGAGCAGTATACCATAAAGAAATGTTGGGAGTGGAGGTATAACTCCGCTTCTAACCTCTTCATTAGATAGAACTGAGCGATAGCTTCATGCCTCAGTTGCATTACCCCTGGGGATAGAGCCCCGATTTCCCATTTGATAGGATGCTGAATGGACCTGAGAGCTAGTCTGTATACCATCTGAGCTGCTCTGACTCTTGTCTAGACCAGTAGAGGATGGGAAGTAATGAGGAAGTATTTGGGAAGTATGTGTGCTCGGATAGAGGGCACCTGAGCAGTAGGTGCTGTTGGCCATGTGTCCCTATGCGAGAATGGCAGTCAGTGTTTTGCAGAGTGTGGGGCCATCGTGCAGCAGGAGCTGGCAGAGGTGTCCAGAGCCGTCATCCTGTCAAACCTGACGGAGTTGGTGGACGGGCTGGAGATCATCAAGAAAGATCTGCAGGAGATACACATCACCACGAAGAGTCTGCAGAACAGCTCCAACAACCTGGCCCACAGTAAGTCACAGGAATGCAAGTCGATACTTCTGCCACGGTCATCAGGGACCAGTGTGATGAGTGACATACAATGGCTGATATGCTGGCACAGGGAGAAAATAATTCCTTTACCATTCCCTTCACCTATCTTTATCTCCTCTTTTTTATTGCTACACCATCCTTTGTCCATCATATTCCTATCCAATTCCTTCCTTCCTCTTCTTCATATTAAAATAGTTCCCTCACTTCAATCATCTTTTATTTTATCCCTTTTGTACCTTTGTGTCCTTCCCTCCTTTCCCTTGCATAGGTTTCTATGTCCCTTATATGTCCACCTTATTATAATTCCTTACCCTGTATCCTAAATTGTGTTGTGTTTTTCATACGCGTTTGCATATACAGGCAGATGTAGCAGAATCCAGATGTAGATGGCTGTAGCGTTCAGCAGTCAGTTTTGGGAGGTTATGTTTGAATCAAGTAATAGGAAGATGGTGAATGATGAATTGGGATTTTAAGGGAAGTGGTCATATCCTGATCTTGGTACTATATGAGTATTTTCCTGGACAGACTGAGGAAACCCCCAAAAACCTCAGTCAGGATGGCTGTTCTTGTAGCCAAGATTCAAAACCAAGACCTTCCAAATACAAGCATATAGTGTTTCCACTAGACCAACCTCTCAGGCAGTCAGGTGCAGTGTTACAAATGATGCTTTTTAATGACACTGTCAGTATGCATACTCTCCTTCATTGGATGATAGGATAAATGATGAATTTGGAGCATTGGTAGAATAATGATTGGCAGGGGAAAACTGAAGAAGCTGGTGAAAACTGGCTCCAGCGCCACTTTGTCCACTGCAAAGCCCTCATGACCTCACTGAGGATTGAACCTGGGCCATCATGATGGAAAGCTGGCTACAATCTGCCCGAGCAATGGCATGGCCAAGTGATGTGATTCAGTTTGTGTCACATTTCAGGTCAGTCTCTGTTGATGGTGATGGCCATTCTGCAAAATGTCCACTTCTGTATTAACTCCTGTTTCCTTGCATTTAGTTGCCATGAGGTTTGAAGAGTTAATGTAAAAGCATACCCATTGCATAATTTTGTCTTCTGCCACAAGAATTTACTTTTACACATAGTAGTGATGTAAACCTAAACATGGATGGAAGGACAATATTAAGATATATCTTATATATCTTAAGTTAACAGAATGTGAGGGTGTGGATTTGTTTTAGTGACATCAGGATAGGGACCATTGTTAGGCTGTTATGAACATGGTAATAAACCTTAGGTTTCTTTAAAATCTGTGAAGTTTTTTGACTATACTGAAGCCACGGAAAGAGGTTCTGTGTGTGTTTAATTGCTGAAGTGGGCTTCGAACAGCCCTAGCGCTGTGACCATCCACAGACTTTGCGGATGGAGTCGCATTGATATCAGATATGATAGCACCTAAGGCCTCTCTCTCTCTCCACCAGGCGTTGTACCCCCCCCCAGCAGTCCCTCAGATCTGTGTGAGACAATGTAAACAGTTATCACTACCAACATTTGTATGAACAGAAGGGCAAGACAGCTAGAAAGGAACAGGGACATATGCTTGAAGTAGAAGTGTAATGGCTTGAAGTAGATGTAGATGGAATCAATCCATAGGACTTCTTTTTCTTGCCGTATTATAGATGAGCAAATGTAAAGATCTGAAGAAGGACTCTGCCCCATTGAGTTAGTTACTTGTGTAGTTCATACAGGTAGGTAAGGACTTATGTATCTGTGTGTTTGTGAATGAGGGATGTGACAGAGATGAGAATATTATCTGTGCATGTTATTTTGGAAGCTGGATGTTTTCTAGATCTGATGAAAGTGAAGAGAGCACTGGAAGCAGAGCTGCAGAAATGCAACAGTTCGTGCAAGGAGTCACTGGAGAAATATGTTGCCAACATGTCAACCAACGCTGATTTCCAGCATGTAAGTGACATCAGCTCTAGGGACAGATATGTTATCTCGTGCATATACTGCGTCTAAAAACGTCTTTGAGAGTGTGACATCGGTATTTAGTTATGTTGTTTGTTACATCTTTATTAGAAAGGCTTGAGATTCTACTAGATTCCTTTGTCAGTATATTACAGCAATGAGTGTCACCATACCAGAGATCTCATTGAACAGACAGGACTATTCATCTGTAAGGTGGTCAACATTGAGTGTGACATATTGTTTCCATGTCATGTTAAGTTTTAATGTAAATGAAGAAAGTAGCTATTCCAGTTGTAACACCCCTGAGTATCACATACTTTCCCTAAGAAAATTAAATTAAAATTAAATATATGCTTTGCTTTATTTTTCAGGCATCCTTTTTAATGACAGTTGCACATCAGATTGAAACATACTGAACTGGCGAATAGATTGTAAAATTTTACTGTCTATAAAAAGTAGTATCAACTTTATGAATCAGCATTAACTGAATTGAAAACCGTTAGAATTCTTATGCATGGAATGCAGTATGTCATCTCAGAACTTCCACTGATAAATGCAAGCCAGATAGTGAATAAATTTAATTGTTACATGTAAGCAGAAATATTTTAGGTATATACCAGGGTTGTTCAAGGCTAACATGAACTTTTTCCTAAAGACATGGGCACCAGAAAAATTAAACTTGTTTGTAGACAGTGGATGACTGGAGCACTCCTCTTCTTCACATTGCAGCCAGTATAAATTGTCACCAGATCTCGTCACTCCTCAGAACAGCGCTGTATGATCAGTTTCCTAGTGAAATAGAAGGTGAAACAGCAGAAATTTTTTGTAGGCTAAGTGAACAGTGTGGGGAAGAGACCCTATCACATGCAAGTATCACAGCTGTCAGCTGGCAAGATCATGGGAAATGTGTTTTGGCAGTCAGAATGGGTGATTTTCTTCCATATGGTATAACAAGTAATGCAAAGTATTACAGTAGATTGCTCTACAGTTATTTGCACTAAACGATTCAGAAGAAAAACCCGGGAAACTGTCAAAGAAAAATATCCTACTGCATGATGGCATTTGCCCACATGTGGCAAATTAGATGAAGACGACATTGGCAACAATTGGCTGTGAAATTGTAAACCACCCTCCTTACAGCCCTGTCTTAACCGTTGGTGATATTCATTTGTTTGGAGCAATGAAGTTGTACCTAGGAGGACAGAAATTTCACACTGATGATGAACTGGAACACGTCCTGAACTGGCTACACAGTCAGGATAAATCCATTCGTGTTGCTAGCATCAGTAACTTGCCAAGATGGTGGAGGAATGTGTCATCATAAAGCGAGAATATTTTCAGCAGGAGTGAGATTGTGGCTTGTATATTATTTTTCTTAAAGAGAAAGTACTTCATGAGCGGGGGAGTCAACCTTGATCCTCCCTCATTTATACAGGGTGTAAATAAATATATGATATAATGCTCTATGGTAGATGGGTTCAATCTGATCATATTTTTTTTAATACACCTATGTCCGGAATCGCTTCTTTTTGGCATTAAGGGCCACAAAAGTTTCTGGGAGGATGCATAAGTTTTAGGGGATGTTATCATTGTTTTACATTATAAAAGTTGCTCATAGTGGCTGCTGCCGACTTCATTAAATGTTCTGCACTGCCTGGCTATGCTATGCTGAACTCTTTGAAAGATTCCCGGCATTTCCAGGATGGTTCCAGCTGCTACCGCAATTCTTGACACAAGATCATATTGTGTCTCCACTGGAGTCTTGTACACAAGGCTTTGCATGTACCCCCAGGGAAGGAAATCCAATGGAGTAAAGTCAGAGGACCGAGGGGGCCAGGTTATTGGTCCTCCACGTCCAATCCATCTGTTGCCAAAAGTTTCATTCAAATACTGAAGGATGACATTACTGTAGTGTGCTGGGCGCCATCATGCTGGAACCACATTTCACGACCTACTCCCAAAGGCACCACTTCCACCAGCTCGGGTAAGATCTCTTGGAGAAATTTTAGGTAAATGTCACCAGTAAGCCACAAAGGTAAGAGGTAAGGGTGCCCTCCTTCACATTTCAGAGGCCCTAGCGCATAAACAGAGATTTTCCAGACGTGGGTATACACCTATGATATGATCACATTGAGCCCATCTATCTACCAGAGCATTGTAACATATATTTATTTACACTATGTATATGACATTTCTACTATTTTGCTATAAACAAGGTAGGAAATGTATGCATTGCATAACAGTTCTGGTGCATCCACTCTGACATTGCCTCTGTATTTTCAGTTTTTGAATTCTAACTCTTGATCTCTCTTATAAATAGTGTAAAAGTGATGACTTTAAACAGTATCACTGATAAATGCATTATAAATGTCTTTGCCTGCTTTCTACACAAGAGATACATCAGGGCTGAAGTCATGTAAACTGTAAATAAATAAACTTCACTGCTCTTTTTTTCTGCTTGGAAGACCATTGTTGATTGATGGATGTACAGGTTCTGAAGTTCATATGTAGCATAGCACGTGCACTCATGTGAGACTTGCAGAGAAAATCATATCACTTTTGAAATGTGCATCATATTTTCTGTACATTGTCTTTTTGAACATTTCTCACTTTAGTAAATATTCAGTGAGTTCCGCTTGAGACACAGTCAGAAACACGTGGTAAGTCATCATGTAGAGTGGTCATCATTAAAACTGTCCAAGCTAAATGAGAACTGAGCTGGCTTAACAGTTTGTACTGAAATTATCCAGTATCAAATTTAACCTAAGTGATTTAATTCATTCTCAGGTCATTTAGTGCATTTGAGTGGATGTGCAGATTTTTTAACAGGCGTTCTACATGGATGGGAACGTTCATGAAAAGATACCAAAACTGAGTTCTTGCACATTCTGCCAAATCTTTCTAAATACAATTTTTCGTACATAGTTGTAGTAAAAACAAAACTATGATAGCGATAAGCTATGGTGAGTGGTATCCTTGTGTGAACTAATGTACTTGTTTGCTCTTTATTTCATGCTTAGTTCCTAGACAGGTACTTCCCTAAGGTACAGTCCTGTTTCTCTTTTGCAATGCAGTCAGTCAGTTTGCATGTGTGTGAGTATGTGTCTTAGGAAATTCAGTCAAGTGTGCAGGTGCTTCCACTGTGCTTAGCCCTGAAAACATATGGGGGCGTGTAGACACAATACCACATGTTGTATGCTCAGGTATGAATTGAGATTAGTGGTCAGTACATGTCTGTAACTAATTCACTGCAAAGGTAATAAACCCCAGTACTCACTGAGGAGATGAGATGAGATAGCACAGTCGGTATAGGAACTGGCTATGAGCTGGTTGGCTGAAGAGTTTGGAGTTCTAGTCCTGGTAGGAGTAAGATTTTTCTCCTCTGTACTTGTCTATACTGTTTCTGGTGCTCACCCAGCCTCCTGTCTAATAGGTACCAAGGGCTCTTTCCCGGGAGTTAAAGAGGCCAGGGTGTGGAGCTGACCATATATGTCCAACTAGTGCTGAGGTTAAGAATACATGGATCTATACATCCACTTCTGCATAGAAGTTCATGGCATAGTGCTTGATTACCATTTTTTCTCCCTTATCTTTCTTTTTCTTTCCCTTTTCTCCCCTTTTCTTTCCTCCCCTTATTGGATTAGAGTGGGGGACCCAAATGCTGGTCATAGCTTAGTTGTGAGTAGAAGAAACCTTGTCTCTGCCAAGACTCAAATCCCAGCCGTCGAGGCCGTAACCAGTCACTTCATTGAGGAAGCATCTGTCGCTGATTGCCATTTTATGGATTTCTTAAGGCATAAGATCGTTTATGTAACTTTATATTATTTTATTTTATTCTATGTCTGTCTGAGGCATACAGTAGCATAGTTGGTTGAGGCACTGTTCTACAAGCTTGAAGGTCACGGTTTTGATTCTTGGTGAGGTCATTGAATCTTTCAGTTGACCTAATACTTCCATCCACACTGTTGCACTGGGGTTGGCTCAGCCTCTAACAGAAATGAGTACCAGGAATCTTTCTGGGGGTGGCTTGTGTGTAAGGCTGAAAACTTGACCACCATCTGTGAGCCAGTTGTCTAGAAAATGTGAGAGCCTTGTCATCTCAGAATCCTGTGGGCCTCCACAACCTACTACAAGGGATAACTTTACATTTTTACCATTTGGTTAAATATCAGGGCTTGTTTTAAAATTATACATCAAATATAAGTTACCACTCATATAACGTGTTTGCCAAAATTAACTAGCTAAATCTGGAACAATTGCTTTAGGTTAGAAGATAAGAAATATTGATGACCACCTCTATGGTCTAGTGGTCAGAGTTCCTGGCTATAGATCCAGATGTCCGGGTTCGATTCCCAGCGCTACCAGATTGTCTGTGAAGTAGTGGGTCTGGAGCAAGGTCCATTTAGCCTTGTGATGATAATTGAGGAGCTATTTCAAGGAAATAGCGGCTTCGGTCTAGAAAACTTAAATTAACGACCATGGGGATTCATTGCTCTGACCACATGACACCCTCTATTCGCTGAAGTTGGCACTAACTTTGCCGACAAGCGGTGGTCACTTGGTTGGTGTAGTTTGCTTGCAGACTAAAACCACAGAGTTTGTTTGTTTGTTTTTTTTTTATAGGAAATATTGATGAGGTAATGTTTGTGGAAGTATTCTAGTTTGTCATGTCAGGAAGCATGTTATTGCTGACATGTGTGTGTGTGTGTGTGTGTGTGTGTGTGCATGCATGCATGCATCTGAGAGAAAGTGTACGTGCCATCATTCTGTGTAGATGTAGTAGGCTGATTACTTATTGGATAATTCTCTCATATCGTACTTGTGCATTGATTACATAGCAACAGTAATTCTGAGTTAATCTTTGGTTTATTGTGGTATAAATTATGGGTCTTAAGAATAAAATTCGCTTAGTGGGGGGTAGAGTCCAACTGGGTCCACTCGGCATGGCGGCCACTGATAAGCCTATTGTCGCCTGCCCCAGGTGATTATGATGATGGAGAATTTGGTGGAATGAAGATTGGTAGGGGAAACTGAAGTACTCGGAGAAAACCCACCCCAACACGACTTTGTCCACCACAAATTCCACTTGACCAGACCTGGGATCAAACCCGGGCCACCGCGGTAGGAAGCCCGCGACTAACCACTTGAGCTATGGTGCGGCCTAACATGGGTCTTTATCAAACTTTTATGTCATATTTAACAGTAATTGCCCTATGTTCAGTTGTTTCTGTATGTTGATCTTCCTGCTTTGGGTTATGAAGCATGTGTTATGTATCCTCAGGCCGTGCCAGCACATGTGTGTATCAACTGAATTCACTGACACTCAGATGTTCATGTAACATGCCATGAGTTCATTGTTCTGGCTGTATCGTGTACAAAACAACAGTTTGATGAATGCCGTCTTCTGGGATGTGGCGCCTGTAGATCTTGTGTAAACCGACATTTCAGAGGAACATATTGCCTCGACCCGAAGGAGGCAATACGTTCCTCTGAAATATTGGTTTAAACAAGATCTACATGGCGCCACATCCCAGAAGATGACATTATTCATAGTCACCACTGTGAAAACCTCAAATATTACAGAGCAACAATTTCTTATTTTGATTTGTGAGTGTTTGTTGTACGCAGCTGCCACAAATTGAAGACAGTCTGTTGAGTGTGACGGAGGTGATCGTGAATGGCAAGATAAAGGATAAGGTGAACAATGGACTGCGAGAGTTTGACAAGATACAGCAGGATATTCAGAATGCCATCAAGGACTTGATACCCAAAGTCTCACAAAACATGAGACTTGCAGGTATGGCAGCACTTGCTGAAGTTATTTTGGTTTTGTGGTTTGTTTTACAATGCTGTCAGTAGCTAGACTAGGTAGTGTGAAATGGTAGGATGTTTAATGAATTGGAAAGAATTTGGGAATAAGCAGTTCTGGCCCAAGCAAGGTACTGTCCCAACATTTACCTGATGGGCTGAGGAAAACCGTGAAGACCCTCATTCAGGATAGCTGGCGTCTCAGCTGTGATTTGAACAAGCATGTCCTAAATTCAAGTAGAGAGTGTTACCACTAGACCAGCCTCTTCAGTCACTTGTAGGAGAACAGATAAAGATGATCAATTTTTGTATTCCTGGGTTTGTAGGAGGCTTGGCTAATTGCCTTGTACTCCATACAGACTGGAACTGTATCTGTCCTCAGGTTGGTAAGATACTTGCTCAGTAGGGTGTGTTAGAAACAGCCAGTCACTGACATCAGATGGAAGTCCAAAAACCCATAATATGTGCATTATACTGTCATTAGAGGGGCACACAGTAGCACAGTTTGTTAAGGCACTATGCTGCAAGCTGGAAGGTTGCAGGATCAATTCCTGATGAGATCACTGGATTTTTTATTTCATCTAATCCTTCCAGCTGCACTATGGCCCTGGGGTCGACTCAGCCTCTAACATAAATGAGTACCAGGAATTTTTTTACAGAGCAAAGGGCGACCAGCACGTAAGGCTGACAACCTCACCACCATGTGTGAACCGATTGTCTTGAAAATGTGGGAGTCCCAGAGTTTCACAATCCTATGGGCCCCCATGCCCCATTACAGGCATACCTTTACCTTTTTATACTGTCGTTAAAACTGTTTAGAATTAACAGTTAATACTGAGGAATATAATTCCATATAGTGTGTTGAAAGTCAATCAGTGTCCTGGAGGAACATGGCACCTCCATCTTCAGGGTTTAAGAATAAGCGAAGCAAGAAACCAACATGAATGAGATAGCACTGGCTCAGGTTGGTTCTATACTCTGCTTTGTGTTTTTTTCTTGCGTGGCTTATTCTTTGACCCTGAAGATGGAGGCAACAAGTTTCTCCAAAACACAGCTTAACTTTCAGTGGACTACATGGCATTAATGCCCAGATGATAGAGGACTCTTCATAACCACTGTTGTGAGATGCTACAAAATCCTACAAGGAGTTATGCTTTTTATATGATTACAACAAGGCTGCTGATAGGTGGAAAACTAGACTCAGTTTCTCAGTATAGGTGCTTGTTTTCCGTTTGGTAATTGATGCTTTTATGTTGCTCTGTGTTAGGCTTTTCTGCTTGTGCCATGGCTCCTCAATTTGTAAAGGGATGTATTTACGCAAATATCAATAAAATTGAGATTTGTTAAGTGAATGCTTTTTTGATTAGTTAGAGGGCAATGATTTTAAATATGCTGGCTTGAGGTAATACATATGTAAATAAGAATAGGGGTAATAAATCTGTCTTCTTTCATCACTCTTGTTTCAGTTTTACACAGGTCGATGTGCATAAAGTCTCCAGACTCAACCTTTTTCGTCACAGTCTTTCCTTTCTTATTTCCTGCCTGCTGTTCCTCACTTCTTGGTGACTTCCAGTACCAGGCTTAACCATCTTGCTCTGGGTCTTCTCATGGGTTTCCATTCTTTACATTATAATGCTAACACTCTTTTCAGTGTTCTTGCTTTTATATTCTTCTTGCACGGCTAAACCACTGCACTTGTTTCTCGCCCAACTCTGTTAACAAATTTTAGATTCTAGTTTGTTTACCCAAAATGTCGTGTCTAATTCTGACATCACATCTATTGTACATATATCTGTTTGTTTTCAAATTTTAATTTTGTTTACCATCCAGCATGCAACAATATCAAGATATAAAGTTAAATTCTTTTTAAAATTTGTCACTGCACTACAAGTTTTGGCCTAATCAGCCATCATCAGATGCGTTGAAATTCAGGAGAACTGCTGTATCTTCTGCACCACTGTAACCAGTGTTCTTGCATTTAAAACATTTTTAATTGAAGTCAGTGTAGTTCCTCATCCTGTGCCTTCTACATCTACATTGACTTCATTTAAAAATATTATAAATGTGAAAACACCAATCACAGTGGCGCAGAAGACACAACAGTTCCCCCAAATTTCAGCACACTTGATGATGGCTGAGTAGGCGAAACATATAGTGCAATGATGAATTTTAAAAATAATTTAATTTTAAATATTGCTGTTGTTGCGTGGTGTATGGTGAACAAAACTGAAACTTCTAGTACCAACTGCGACAGGATGCTAAGATATTTATTTGTTTATGGTAATGAATTTTAATTAATTTGAAATAAATAGCAGTAATTGAAATCAGCATACAGTGTGAAGGGAGGATGGAGAAAGAATAAAAAGTTTACACTGACATAGCAATCGCACTGTCGGATGACGATTTACAGGTTTTGATGAGAAAATCTGGCATGAGACTGCTTGGAGGAGCTAAATGTAGATAATTTTAAAGTGGATCTTAAAGGAATGGAGTGTAGACTGAATACATTTGGCTTATGGTAGGGTCCAGTTATGCGAGATCTGGTAAACACAGTAGTGAACCTTCAGAGTCCATACGGAGTATGGAATTTATTGACCAGCAGTGTGACTGTCAGCTTCTCAAAGATGCTTCTTCATGAAAGTGTTCTAATGAATGCTTGGCCATGTTAGGTATGGCCATAAGGGAGCGGTCAAAGCAGATAAACAAGATCCTGAGGGACATGAATGCCGTTGTGATGAACCACTCTTCCAAGGCAGTGGACACAGGGGAGAAGCTGATAATGGAATACGGACACTACAGGTACTGAAGTTGCTGGGCCTGCAACAGGCCGCAACTACCTTGTCCACTTATATGAGAGGTTATGTTACAGATCACGTGGTTGCTTCTGCATTACTTTGTCATGGTGATTGTCATATTTATCATTCTTCTAGTTCCTAGTGGATTTGAAAGATGGATATGCTTTTGTTCTAAACATAATCTTTGCCTTGTTATTCAAACCACACAAAAACACTTGGTTGTTGCCCAGGATGTAGTTGCTTTCGTCATGAATATCGCAGTTTATCGTATCTAAAACTTTAATGAAGGAATGAAATCACAGTTTAATCATTTTGCAAAGGGAGACCATGTGTTCTGATAGATACTTATACATTTTTCAGAGGCATTTGCTTCCACTGTCTTTACCCAGAAGATGTGGTTAGTGGGTTCTTCTGAAGCATTAGTATGCATCAGCAAGTTCGTGGTCCTCACATTCTTTTAGGCTGAGTTTTCCTTGATGTAAATAAAAATTTTTTAACCCCCAGCTTATAAAAATGGTATTTAAAAATTAAAATAATAATTGCTAATAAACCATAAAAATATGTGAAGTGATCTTGTTGTTAAATTTTATGATTTTATCTTAGGGTGTCCTTCTGTTGTTACATTCCAGAAGACAGTATCCTTCATGGTCACCACCACAGAAGCCTCAAAGTTTACCCGTGTTAACAGTGGGGAGATTTCGGAGGAGGATTCATATTGCATTATTTCATATCCTGTAGTGTTCTGTGTCCAGTTTTGGATGAGAATCAGATAATGCACTTCTCAAATTCTCTGTATTGTGTTGCACTATCTCCACATACTTCAGTAGGCTTGCCTTAATGGCAAGTGTGAGGTTTCAGAATGTTTTTTGTTCTAAGTCACATTTAAACTGCTGTTCCAACTCATTTTCCTGAATATCAGTGTTGATGGATGTAGTACACTCCAATACCATGGCTGCTGTACATACTGGAAAGAGCACTGAGTGTATTATGTGCTTGTTCTCTATTGGATTCACAGCATGAAACAGGAAACTGAAAAGTTGCATTTTTCACATGTGTGAGATTGTTATGCTGGTGGTATGAACCGGCTGAGAAAAGGCAGGTGTGAAGTGCAGAACAGGATGGCATTAGACATTGTGATGGGTGTGAAACTTGATAAGTTAGTCTGAGGGGAGAACAGATTGAAGGGAATGTTGGGACCCAAGGGAGAGGACTCACATGCTGATGGGGAGAACAGATTGAAGGGAATGTTGGGACCCAAGGGAGAGGAGTTGCACGCTGATGGGGAGAACAGATTGAAGGGAATGTTGAAACCCAAGGGAGAGGAGTTGCATGCTGATGGGGAGAACAGATTGAAAGGAATGTTGGGACCCAAGGGAGAGGAGTCGCATGCTGATGGGGAGAACAGATTGAAGGGAATGTTGGGACGCAAGGGAGAGGAGTTGCATGCTGATGGGGAGAACACAGATTGAAGGGAATGTTGGGACCCAAGGGAGAGGAGTCATGTGCTACTGGGGAGAACTATATAATGAGGCACCTTCATAATTGTGCTTCTCACCCAGTATTGTTAGGATAACTACAATTTAAAGACAGTAAGATGGATGAGGCATGTAGCGTGCATCTGGAATGAAAAATGCACACAAAAATGTAACTTGAAGAAAAGAGGTATACTCCAGTAGGGGACTTATGTGAATATGGTAATTATTACCCTTTTGAGTTTCGTTACATCAGTGGAATTTCTTGGATAGTTGATCGACTGTCACATTACCAAAGGAGACACTGTAACATGGTGTTAATTGCCCATGGGTTTGTTTGTTGTTCTAATGTCACTCAATTGTTTCTTTAGGTATTATGCAGGCCTGTCGGTGAGTTCTGTGATGTTGGTGGTACTGCTGTGTGCCACTCTGGGGCTCTTCTATGGTTTCTGCGGTAGGCGACCAGATGGCTATGGTGATGACTGCTGCAGCAGGGCCACCGGTGCGCGGTTTCTCATTTTGTGAGTGATATTTCTTGGATCTGGAGGAAGAGATTGCTAGGAAGATTATATGTAGATGAGAGAATAATATTAAAATGTATCTAAAAAAATAGGATAGGAAGGTATGGACTAGATTCATCTGGCAGAGGATAGGAACTCTTTTTGAGGTTGCTCTGAACATGCCATTGGGCTCAGTAAAATGCTATGACTTTCTTAAGTAGCTGAGCATCAGTTAATTGCCCAAGAAAGACTGTTCCATGGAGATATTTCCTGGGTTGCTCAGTCCTGGAAATTTTGACTTTTGGTATCCGTGTGGACCGAAAGGTAAGGATCTGTATATGTATATATCCAAGTCAAAAATGTTTATACTAGCATTCACAGTTGATATAATGTCACCATTTATATATTCCTCAAGAATTGCCTAATGATGGTTTATCTGGACTGAAACACGTCGTGAATCGAAGAAAGCAGTCTTCTGGGATTTGGCACCATGTATATGTGGTGTTAACCAACGTTTCGGAGGAACGTATTGCCTCCATCCTCAGCACCAGTCTGCTTTTACCGGTTCTCACGGTCTCTTCGCTTCCGGATTTCTTATATTTTTTCCTTCTACTCTGAAGATGGAGGCGATACATTCCTCCAAAACGTCGGTTAACACCACATATACACGGTGCCAAATCCCAGAAGACTGCTTTCTTCATAGTCACCGCCGTGAAAACCTCAAATCTTACATGTTGTGAATCAATTGATAAAAACCTTTCTTTGTGTGGCACTGACCCCTCCCTTTTCATGCAACACTACATGATTACAGTATAAATCCTGTTACTGCTAATGTTAAATCTGGCTGCCAGCAGCACAGTAGTTGAAGATATGAGCCTGGGCAGTAAGAGATTGATGTGCCAGAGTTCAGCAGTTTGTGTGTGAGTGGTTGTCATGTGACAGGTGGGAAATATATATATCACAGAGCTATCAAGTGACACCGTGTTGAACTGTGTACTTCGCAGAGGTGTATGGGTTATCTTCCTGTTTTCTGCTGTCCTGATGGTGGTTACACTGGTTCACTTCCTGCTCGGTGTCATCGCTGAGAGAGCCGTATGTGAACCCTTGCAGAGTCCCAATAACAATCAACTCCTAGCACTTGTCGACAAAATGGTTAGATTGGATAAATTCTTCAACTCTGAGGTGGAAATCAACGTTTCGTCCATCATCAGGTGCGTTATTTGTCTTTTTATTTTCTGGAGGAAGCACAAGTTATTAGCATTATTGACATTAGATAAAGTATATGGGTTTGCTACAAGTATTCTTTTCCCCCCTCCTACTCAACACACACACACACACAGACACATACCTAAAGCTTGGCATTCTGTCTTTAGTCTATCCTTACCCTGTATTCTCTAGCAGTCAAAACTTTTAGCAGTTATGACACAGGACAGCCAAGCACCAGGGAAAGGCACCTGTGGTTCAGTTGGCATTGCAGCCTACACATTTGCTGAAAGCAAATTTCCACTGTTTCACAGGTTGTATATGCAGTGAAATTTTGATTTGATGCAAAAGATAGTGAATCAGCGGGGAGGGGTCTAGAGATGGAACTGTTTATTTCAAGTCGCTTGTTGCATATGAGATTATTCCGAATAATGTTCAGCTGCATGTTAATACCAGGGAAGGTCCAGATGTATTTGGGTGAAACTGCAGTGTATGGTGGTAATGCCGAAGTAATGGTTCTTATTGAAATATATAATAAAGTGTCTGTCAAGGTTAATTTTGTGTCTGAGTGTCACAGTGCTCTGTCGCCAGGTCTTATGGCTGGCCATCTGTATATAGTGCGCTCTTTTATTGAAACAGTTCCCATAATGTAATTTGTAAAAAATGTATACTACACTGTTCTAAATCTTCCATTCTACTTATATCTGCTGGATTGCTGATGCGAGAGTTTTCATTTTTACAAACTTCCAAGGGTAGGAATTTCCAGAGTAGCAGTATGCAGTGGGCAGAGTGGTCAGCTGCCGTAATCCTCCTCTTCACATCCATCGTTACCATGTGCTTAAAATTTCTTGTGCTATCTCCAAATGACTCCAAATGTCGAGTTTAGTCTCTTTTAGTAAGTTTACAAATATCTTCTGATGGGAAGACACACAGCCAAATTGACCATATTTTGATAGATAGGATACAGCATTCAAAGTCTGCTCCTCTGAGTAGTCAGACATCACATGCATTTGTTTGACATCTGCTGTGTGTTAAATTATGACAGTTTTTATTTTGTGTCTTTTCATCAGGAGATGTCCAAGTAAATTTATGACTGCTACGATGTGGGGGCATTTTTGGATGTGGTAAAGTGTGCTACTATAACTCCATTATCCTTACTAATTTTATGTAAAGTGTCATTCCCGGTAATGAAAATACAGTAAAACTTGGTTATAGCAACATCGGTTTCTGCGACACCTTGTCTATTGCGTCAAATATTCAATGGTACGAACTAATTCCTCATAAAGCAACTGTTTTTATACCTTGCTTAGTACGACATGCACAAATGCATCAACCTCGTATGTAACGTCATTTTCATTCCTGAATTTCTCTGATATGGACATTGAATGTAATTTAGAAAGTGTGTATTGGGCAAGTAACAGGAAACAGATGAAGATAACTGATTACTGTACTCGTATCTAGGTACAGTAAGGCACAACAATTGATGTAATCTACTGTAATTTGGTGAGTAGGCCTACCTTTAATATACAGTATTAGTGCGGTGTGTATTGTCAGTGAAAAGCGCTGTAATATGTCTTTGATATTACACATTTGGGCAATTCCACGTTAATGTTACGTTAGTCTGTACTTAACTACGTATTTCACTAAAAAATGCAACATTTTAACTCGGTTTTTGGTAGATTTTTACGTGACTAACATAAGGCTACTGTGGAAGTGCCCATTTCGGTTACAACGACATTCGTTTATAACGACACTATTTTTAGGTCCCTTTGATGACGTTATAACCAAGTTCTACTGTAATTGGAAATTAAATCCTTATTATCTTTCGGGCTAGATATTAGTTGTGAGTTATTATTTATTTGTGAATACACACAGCAGGGCACATTGTTGTAAGGCTGTCCATCTTGCAGGTCGTGCCATGCAAATGGAAGCATATATGAGGTGCTGCAGGTGGCAAACCTGGTGAACATCAGTGAGGTCAGTGACTACAAGAGCACGTATGGAATTGAGAATGTCATTAACCAGCTGAAAACAAGGATAGACTTTGGAGGTAATGTTACCATCTTGACTGACGATGCCAAACGGGAGCTGGAGAGTCTTGCCCAGTCGAACATCACGCGCATAAACTTCTCGCTGTTTGCTGAAGTGGTGAGTTACGTCCTCCTCCTGCAAGTCCATTCAGGTGGGGGCACTTGCTGGCTTGTGTTTAGGAGATGATTGGCTTGAATCTCAGATAGGAAATTGACTGTCCTGTCCCCCCCCCCTTAAGCCTTCCAGGCAGATGCTAGGATGGTACCTCAAATTATGCTGAAACTGTTCCTTCCACTGCATTCATTTATCATCTACCATCTGACACTATGTAGTCTCAGCTACTGACTGCATCATTCCTAATTCTGTTTGCCTTTATTTGTACACCTCTTCCCCAATCTTCTGCTGCTCCCTTTATTATCCTCCTTTCCTCTTGACCTCCCCATCCCCAGTTTCCTCATAATTCCTCTCTTGCTCTCATTTTTTGCACTCTGGTCTCTATCTCCACTGCCTGATGACACAGTCCTGTGGCAGGAATGAATGGACTGCCATGCTTGTTTGTGCAGAATGAGATCACCTTTGTGACATAACACTGAAGGGAATATTGCCCTGTTGTTCATTAATATCCGTTTCTCACACACAGACCAATCCACCCATACTCTTATCCTCTTATCCTTGAGATCTTAAACAATTCTTCTTGGAGTGGGGTAAATATTGGTGTGCAGTGACTGTTCAGGGCTACTCTCTTCTGCAGTGTCTTCAGTACTGTTCTGTGTACATTCTGTTGACATGGCTAGACCACTGTAATAATTTTTCTGCTAACTCTAGAAACAAATTTTGAACTCTAATTTTTTTCTAAAATTTAATTTCTATTTGTATCCCTTTTTGTTTTCCCATCAGTACATCTGAAGGATTTTGTATCTGTTGTTAGGATATGCTTTAGATTTTCTTTGTAAGGCTTCACATTTTGGTATTCTATATCATATCGGTTTAAAGCAGAAGTTCTCAACCTTTGTAAGACTACAGCCTGGTAGATTCTTTTTTCTATAAGATGGCCTGGTAGTGGGCCACTGCCCAGCGGTTGAGAAACACTGGTTTAAAGTACAGTTTATAGATGGTTGTGCTCTGTTGGAGGATATCTGTTTCTCGTATGTACTGCGTGGTAACTTGTGATGTAAACTGTGTATAATGATCTACAGTAGTCTTCAGGAGAAGTGTTATGATGTGAAGTCTGACTGGTTGCAGCTCAACAAGTCCATTGTGAACACTGACCTGGAGACACTGGCCAACCAGCTGAGGAAAACTGCCAGCGAGATACCCAACACGTCCGATGTGAGTACAGCTCAGCAGTTCGTTGTAGTAGGGCAAGTTGGAAACATCTCAATACCAGAAAGAAATTAGTGCTCACAATTAATGATACTGGTTTGTCAGTTTTAAGATTTTGTTAAACTTGTGAATGTATAACTTGGAATAGTACCGTTTTAGGCTTGGACACCACCTATTCTCACTTAATTTTTTGTGTCGTTTTCCGCAGTTCTTCCTGAGAAATGTTGTGATAATGCCTTAAGTTATGTATGTCTGCATCCATGCACATCATTTGCAAGTCATTATTTGTTATCGTCAGTCGTTCAACAGAGGGCTGACTTTTTGAGAGCTCCATTGAATAACTACAAATAAATGACTGCATCATCTCCCTTGATGCAATATGACCTATGCAGCTTTAGGATAAGTGAAGTATTAATGTGATTTAGGTACATACTAATGGATCAGTAAGTGAAAACTGTTACATTTAATGAAGAGTACTTACCTTCTGGGGTGTAGTGTCATGCAATCCAGTTGAAGTTTACTGATGTCTGCAATGAAAGTACTACCTCCATCTTCAGGGACAAAGATATGATAATCAAATAACAAGCAGTTAGCCAGCTGAGGTTGGTGGAAATATGTTTGTCAGGAGCATTAGTGGAATTCTGCTGGAGTGTGTGGCATCGCATCCCAGAAGATTGCACTCTTTGTAGTCAATGTTGTGAGGGCCACAGGTCCAACATTGTTATGTTTATTTGGATCAGATCCGGGAATCATTGAATAAGCAGGCGAATATCCTGGAGTCGCTGCAGGATGACTTGGTACTGCAGATGGAAAGACAGGTGCGCGCTCTGGGCAAGAAGACGAAAGCTCTTGAGGAGAACCTCAAGTTCAACCATTCACCACTTAATGAGAGTATCAGTCTTATCCTGATGGAAGTAACGAAGGCCCAGGACTACCTCAACACGACAGCCTCCAGAGAAATAAAAAATGTATGTCATATAAGACTGGATGCTTTTGCAGTGATTGCAGGTGATATGTCCTCTTGGGTGATAGTCCCAATCAGTGGTCAGTACCTGATGTCTGAGGCAGAACATATTCAAAACATTTGACTTTGGCCCTGAATTGATATGGCTTATCACCCAAGATGCTTACGTAATTAATTTTATATTGTTTATAAGGTGGTAACATTGCTTTATCCCATGATACTTACCCCTCTGATTGCCAAGCTCCACCACAGGAGTTAATACTGTTGCACAGAGAAACCCACAATACTTCAGATTGACTTGATATGATTACAGATGTAGGCAGTGAGAAAGCCTGTTCCATCCTCTTAACCCTTCAGCGCCGGGGGCATTTAAATCGTTTTTCAACTCCAATGCCGGCGGCTATTTAACTAATTAATTCAGAGAATACAGCACTTAACTTAAAGGATAATAAACAGGGAAAAACTGGAGTTTTGTTTTTCAGATTTTCACACAACGTCCAGAGAAGTATATAGAATTAGAGTATTGATCCACACTACTTCAAAATTATTTTTGGGCCAGTAAGCATATAAAAATTATGAACAATAGTATTGTATTACCTTAAAAATTCAGCTGTGTTTGGTAGTCGCGGACACGCTCAATGCTGCCCTCATTTCCAACAGCTTCAATCAAGGCACGATCATCTAACTCGTTTTCAGTGTCAAAATCTGAATCTGACAGACTTTGTTTGGAATCACTTTCAAGCAAACACTGTAAGTCCTCGTCACTCAACACAGCTGAACGTCTGTTGCTTGTCCCAGCCATGGCTGCTACATGCAAACTGCATTAGCTATGTGGAACAAAGGGAACCTCAAGGAATGCAAACAAGGCATTTGTTTATCATATCCAACAGCAGTCATATCAGAGGTCAGCGTCATGTATCTTTCTTGTTAGGTTCTAAACGTGGTTTCTCATTCCGTTGAAGAGGCAGCACTCGTCACTGGCTGAATGGAAATCGAATTGGCTTCGACCAACACGCAAGGATATCACAGACTTTGCTTTGACAAATGCGCGAGGAGATCACAGACTATAAACCTAGCATATTTAGTTCTTAACTACTCCAAGAGTTTGAGAAAGATTTGTATGGCAATACTGCACCCTAGACGGTGAACCTCAAAACTTTTTCAGAGACTTCAAATGTAAAAAAAAAAAAAACCCTGGGAAGTTCAAAGTGGGATAATGAATATACGAACTGATAGACAGAAATTCCTCTTTAATTTTATACCAAAAGTATTACTTTACATGAAAAGCAACAGTTTAAAATAAGAACTGAAACTTAGCACTGCACAAGACGCATGACAATGTTGCCCGGCGAGATGTGGCATTTAAATGCTGACATGCGATGTATGTCGCCCGGCACTGAAAGGTTAATGTCATTACCAGTAGTGATTCATGGGTTTGCAGTTATGATGTTGAAAGCAAACAACAATAATCCTCACAGTGGAAAAAGTCCTTCAAGTTGCCCCAAGAAAGCATGACAGGTGCGCGCCCGAATGAAAGCAGTGCTACTTGTTTTTTGGTCATCAAGGCATTAAGCATTACAGATTCACTCCTGAAGGTCAAGACAATCAAGATTTTTATCTGGCAGTTCTGAGACATCTGGGATGCGATATGAAGAAAGCAACTCAAAAAGTGGGCTGAGGGAAGTTGGTTCCTCCATCATGATAATGCGCCTGCTCATACAGCATTGTCAATGGGACAGTTCTTGGCAAAACATTCAATTCTTACCCTTCCACAACCCACTATTCACCAGTCTTCTCCTGACTTTTCTCTGTTCCCTAAACTCAAAGTGACCGTAAAGGAAGAAGATTTCAGTCAGTGAAAGCAATCGTTACTAACGTGACGAAAGACTTGAAGGCAGTGCAACAGGCATCCTTCAAGCAGTGCTTCCAGAAGTGGAAAAGGTGGGGAAGGGGTGCATTGTAGCACAAGGGGGCTATTTTGAAGGGGATAATATTCAGTAAGCTCTAAGTATAGAAAGATACAGTAAACCCTCGCTAACCCGGAGTAACGGGGAGGGAAGGTCATCAGGATTAAGTGATAAACCCAATTAGTGAAGCAGAAGGTAGCCCTGAAAGACAAAAGAGGTTGGAACCCAAATAAATGGAAAATTTAATGGCATAAATAGTGCTGATGAAAATAAAAAAATCACTGTAGGACTTTTATTTAAAAATCATAATAAGACATTTATTCATTGATAGAAGACTCAAAAGTTGTACTTGTTTTTGAATGTAGTAATGCATTAAAGAAACTGCCAAGCTTTGTCTGAACAGACAAGTGATTCATTTACCGTTCTAAATGGTGTGTGTCTTTTAAAGTATGTACCCAGCTTTGAGCAGCATTTTTCAATTCTTATATTTTGATCCAGATTATCCTACATATGGATTAACTGTAACCAGATTAGTGAAGGTTTACTCTGTTATGTATAGATGAATTTCGGGAACTGTTTGAACACACCTTGTGCATCACATGTGATGCCATCTATTGACTGTTAAGTAACAGTGAGTTGATGTCATTGGCTGTGGTAATTTTAGTGCATTTACATCAAGCTGATCTAATTAGCTCATGGCATCAAAGAGGAATAAACCTGTGGGAGCATCCCCACAGCGTCTGGCAGACAACCGTCACCCCCTTTCAGAAAGCACCAAACTGGCAGCTGTGACCAAAGAGACTCGGAATTTATACCATTTCCAACTACCGTGACTTATATACCAGCTACATATATTTATAAACTTCGCCGTGACTCCGCCTTTCCATGCACGGCCCAATGGATGCGCGCCGTGACGACTGCAACTTTAGCTCCGCCTCCCGGCCGGTAGTATTTAAGACCGGGAACCCAAGGTGCAAGCAGTTCAACTCGAAACGGCAATGCAGTTAGAGTCATCAACTCCACTTCTGCTACCGGGCAGCTGACGTAGCTGCCGCAAGCCTTCAACGAACGCGTCTTCCGCAACGCAGCAACCGACCGAGCCAGTCGTTCCTACCGGCACGCTGAGCACGCCATCACCGCCCAGACAGGCCAGCCAACGCTTCAATATTATACGTGTATTCCGTGTTCTGTATATTGACTTTAAACGATTCAATATATACAATTGTACAGTTTCGTGTGGTTTGTCTATTGGAGTATTGACGACAATCCCACAAACCCATTTCATGGCACTTTGGCCTATATCACAAAGAGCACATAAATATGTAAAAGTCTGTGTACACTCACCACAGAGTCGAATTAAATTGCAACTGTTACTTTGGTCTGCCACAGTCTCCTTCTGTGACTGATCAGGATATTGTAGGAATAATTTTGTAGGTTTGCATTTGGGAAGTGTGTGGGTGACAGATTTTGGCCAGTTTGCTATTGATATCCTGAATTAGGTGTTCATGGTTCTCTTTCATCACCCCCTCACCACTTACGATGATGCTATCATGTTCAATGAACATTATGTAATATTATATTTTAGCATCCTCTTGCGTTGAAATGTCACTTTTGCAGTTTCTCTTTTGTCTGTAACGCAACACTTTTTATTTTAGATGACACCAAACTTACATTCAGCTCACTAAATTGTTGGTTAAAATGTTGGTGTCATCAAAAATAAAAAGTGTGCTGCATTATAAATGGAAAAGAAAGTATACAAGTGAAACATTATTTAACTTGCACAATGGGAACAGTTTCTCAGTCATCAGATAGCACTAGAATTGATGAAAATATGTGGATCCGTCAAATCGATGCTGGTCTTGGGTAATCTCATTGCAGTTGATCTGTTTGTGTTGTCTTGTTGCAGTTAGCAGACATGTTTGCTAATGCAGTCCTTGACCACGTGGACCTGTACTTGAGTAGGGTGGTGAACATGACGACTGCGAAAGTGGGGCAATGCCACCCAATGAGCCAGGTGTACAATGCAACAGTTGTCGCCGTCTGCAACCAGATCCTTGACCCTTTTGTGAGTTGTAATGCTCATCTGATATTTCGGTCTTGTTTGGAATTTGAATTCTGAAAAAGATATATAGCTTGTACTGAAAGCAAGTATAAGGAAAGCCAGTGACAGAAAGAATTTTGCTTCAACATGGTGAAGTCAGGAAATATCGTAAACAAAATGAAGTCTTGACAAGGGGAGCAGGGATTTTCTTTCTCTGTCACCAAGTATAGACTGGCTTTGTGTCCTGTCAAGATGCCTATTCACTGCTCAGCAGAGGTTCTTTCCTGGGGTGTAAAGTCACCAGGACACGAAGATGGCCACTAATCTCCATTCAAATGTTGAGGTTAAGAAATTATAACTTGAATTGTAGCTGTATACTAACATGTAAATTGTGAAGAGTGATGCAAGTCTTTATTTGAACCCTTTCTTTGCCCAGTTTCTTTTGGCTAATTCACAGGAAAGAAGTGTTAAATGACACCTAATTGACTTAATCTAACTTAATGATAATCAGTATAACCTAACCTGATATGGCCTAACATTACCAAACCTAACCTAACTTAAATATGTCTTCTGCTTCTAGCATCTCTTCTGTTCTTTAGGTGTTGATGCATAAAAATTTTCCAGTCTCTTCTGCCTCACTATAGTGCATTTGTTTCAGTTTCTCACCATCTTTTTTCTCTCTTTTTAATATTTTTCAGTATCTTGTTGAACTTTCTTATTCTTGGTCATTGTATAGATATCTTCCATTTAAATTTTAATACTATTGTCCTTCTCAATATCATCATTGTGTTCATTCTATATATAAATATAAATAAATAAATAAATATATATATAAATATTTATATGTCCAAACAAATGTAAGCATTTTTACTACTTCACATCCTGGGGAATGAGCCCACTGTATCCATTGGATAGGACTTGTAAGGAGACCCCAGAACTGGTCTGGATGTGATGAAGAGAGAAGTCCCCCTCTGGCTGGAATCAGACACCGATTCTCATTCTTACTGACTTGAGCTGCCTGGCTCAAAATATTTTATTAGAATTGAAGCCTAGATTACTATTTTAGTTTCAGTGTTCAGTCAGGCATTTACTGTGTTTTGATATTAAGTGGAGGTAAGAGATCTGGCAATGTGTTTGTTCTTGTGCAGAATGGTTTCTGGGCAAGCATTGGCTGGTGCCTGGTGCTTTTTATTCCTGCCATTATTCTCTCCGTCAAATTGGCAGCACTGTACCAGAAGTCGGATCCGTACCCTGGGCCTTTGGTAGAATCGTGAGTATCATTTCTGTCTTGCATAAACTTTTCAACTCAGTGTGATGTCCTCCTGTCATTCACTACCCAGATGATAGTAAGTGACCTGTTAAATTTGCAATGTTTCTTGTCATTGACTCATCTCATATGTAAACTTCTCTGCATATTGTGTTGTTTAACAACTGTGGTTTGTATTGTTCCCTCAAAGTAAGATGGAGGCCAGCTGTGTGATGAATGCTAAGTAACTGGAGTAACTGTGACAGACAGAGAAGGAGAGAGATGATTTTGTGTATGACATTAATGATACTATTTGTTATATTATTTAAATCACCGCACTTCTTCTCTTGAAGAAGTGATTATGCCAATGCTGATGTTACAGCATCATTAAATAAATGCATTTATAAGTGTGCAACTAAATAATACATTAATTAATTAATTACCCCATGCAACATCAGGCAAATATTGTCTCTATAAACATTAGTGTACCATCACTTCCACATAGCTGTTCTCATAACCATAGATAGAAATCCCTCCCACAACCTGTCTTACAGAGCTGGAGAAAGAACAGCCATACAGTTCCATGTCTGACACTTGTAAAAAAACATATATTAAAGTTATTGGAATGTGTATTATGATTATTCAGCATTTTGGATTTCACAGGAACTGAAATGTATATATGTACCTAACGGCTGATACAGCTTTAGTAAACAAGCATTATGCTGGTCTCTGGCCTGCTGGTTAGTGTAGTTCTGTGTTCTAACCTTTGAGTGCCTGCTGTTTGTCCTTGATGTTGTGACTAACCCCAGCCTGTGTGTCTGTTTGCAGTGAATACTTGTACGATGCGTACGGAGATCGGGATAACATCCCATTAGCCAAGTAAGTCTATCGGGCCATCATACTGTGTTTGCTTCTGTATTCACTTAACTGATGACAAACTAGTGCATCTGCAGAACTGAAAGGTCAGGTCACTTGCACCACTACTGGCAGACTGAGGGTAGATTAGATTTTACACATTAACCCTTTCACTGCTAATAAACTGATTTGAGTCAGTGAGGAAGGTTCTCCCATTCAAGGATTCAGACAAGATGACAGGGGGTCATTAGTGTTGTCATGATAGACCAGTTAGTGTCAGTCTTCAGCAAATGTACCTGTCCTCATGGAAGGCTTCTGGCATTGCACTTCTCCTGTACAGGTTGACTATCAGAAGCCTTCTGCTGCCAGCTATATGAATTTCTGGCCAAATTATGATCATGGACAGGTTGTTATGTTGTCTGAAACATCTCTTAAGCATACATCATACCTTCAGTAGGTAGCCTTAGAGAAGAGGAGGCTTGTGTGTCCACCGATATCTCCAGTATAAATGGAATCTAGTAACCTAATGATGTCGTTAATGATTTATGTCACTATTTAGGATTTGAGGTTCCCACAGCAGTGATTATGAAGAATTCTGTCTTCTGGGACAATGCCGTATAGGCCATTGAAAGTCAACCGATGTTTCGGAAGAACATGTTGTCTTCATATTAAGGGTCAAAGGATAAGCCAAGCAAGAAACCAGTGTCTGCTTTCATGCTGGCTTCTTACTTGGTTTATTCTTCGACCCTAAATATGGAGGCAACATGTTCCTCTGAAACATCGGTTGACTTTAAGTGGACTGCAAGGCATTATATCAGAGAAGTTGGAACTCTCTGTGTCAGTATTTGATGGTGTGCAACCTCTGAGATGCATTAGACGCACTTTATCTCTTTTACAGTCTTCAACTTTGTATAGGAACAACAGGTGGCAGGAGTGTTCTCCCAGTCCAAAGTGCCTTTTTGTTTAAATGTTTATATAAATTAATTTATAGCACATAGGAATTAAGTGGAAATAAAGGAGATGGGCAGAGGTTATTGTTCCTTTCTTCAAATCAGCTGTAATTTATTTTGCTTACAATTACTTAAGGTATTTGTGTATGTCATGCAGAGAATAGTGGGTCTGCAGTGTTGTAAAGTCTGAAGAAGTAACTGCAAAATTTATCATTGCAACATGCAGCCTAACACCAGAGTTCAGTGAGAATACCTTGCCACATCACAACCTTGTGGCTTTGCCTCTCTCATTCTGAAAACTGTTGCACACCTGCCAGTGTTTCAAGTACAGGTCTATCATCATCAGATCTAGCTTATCAAACTAACTTGCTGACCAAATAACTAACTAACTAACTAACTGATTCTGTGGAGCTGGGCCCTTCTGTAGAAGTCACCAGTTGCTCAGCTACTCAAATTTCCAGCATTTAATAGAACCCAAAGGATCAGTACTGCATTTAGAAGGCCCCACCACTGGTCCCTGTCATGAGCCAGATCAATCCAGTCCATGCCTTCACATCCTGTATGTTTGAGATCCACTTTATATCCTCCCATCTACGCATAGGTCTTTTGTAATGGTCGCTTTCCTTTATTATTTCCCACCCAAAACTTTATATGCACTTCTGCCTCATATGTTACTTGCCCTTTCCATCTTGTCCTTCTTGATTTGATCATCCTGATAATAATTGGTGAGGAGTAGACATTTTGAAGTTCCCCATTATGCAGTTTTCTCTGATTTTTACTTCATCCCCTTCAGTCCAAATATTTTTTGTAGCATCCTGTTCTCAGATACTGTCAGTATGTGTTACTCCAATCTAGTTTACAAGGTATTTATCTTTGCACTTTTGTTTTTGTATCTCAGACACTTAAATTGGGTGCATAACAGTTTTATGAGGTTGCTGGTATTTCATGGCCCGTAGCCCTGTGCTGGCAGTAGAAGGAAGAGTTACAAGGTCATGAGTTCCTGTTACCTGAAGTATAATTTGAATTTTGAAATTGTCAGCTTGCTGCTACACCAATATTGGAGCATTCACTGTGAGAAGTTACAAAGAAGATTAACTCTCCAGTATTTGTGCATCTGTCTGTCCCAGTGCAACAAGTTTAGAACCTGTGACTAGATTTTCTTAATGTATGGTGCAAGAGAGTGTACTGAAATTCGTTGACATTTCAGTTTTAGTTCAAATCAAACTATAACAGACACTTTGCATGAAGTTCTGTGCATGTCTGTCTCTGTCTGTCTCTCTGTCTATCCCTTTTGCTCGCATTTGGAGCATAGGGTATCTGTGAAAATTTTGTTTCACTTCATTTTCATAATCTTAAGACAGTTATTAGGACTCCTTGGATAAGGGATCAGCCCATTGCAAAGGCACTACCTACACAGGACAACACAAACACAGAATAAACAGACAGACAGACATCATGCCTTGAGTGGGATTTGAACCCTCAATCCCAACATTCAAGCAGGCCAAGACATTTCATGCATTAGACTGCTTGGCCATTGTGATTGGCTCTGCATATCTAGAGTAAGGTAAAAGATATCCCCTGTAACAGGCCATGGAGGCCCATTTTCCATACAGTCAGCTCACAGTTGGTGGTGTGGTTGTGAGCCTTATGCCTCAGCTGCCCTTTGCCCCCAGGAAGATTCCTGGTACTCATTTCTTTTAGAGGCTGAGTTGACCCCAGGGCCATAGTGCGGCTGGAAGGATTAGAGGTCAACTGAAAATATCCAGTAACCTCAATGGGAATTGTACATATGACCTTCCAGCTTGAAGCATAGTGCCTCATCCAACTATGATACTGCATAACTGAGAGTGCAGATACATATTTGTCAGTCCAAAAAAATATTTAAAGCAAAAGTTGTGGTTGCAAAAGATACATCCATTTTATGCCCTCCTCCTTGTTTTTGGGGTCCCAGATTGAGATAATTAAACAAACGCAAGTTGTGCTGTGCCTGCATTTTCTAACTTGTTCATTCCAGTTGCTGTTTTCATGGGTCTCAGCCTGCTTTTTTCTTCTTGCATGCTTTTTTTCCATTCTTGTGCCACAAAGCATGGATGCATGAATCTTCAAAATTTGTGTTCAGTATTGGAATTATGCCTCTTTTGGTAGGATGTACATTACAGGTTGAAAATTTGCAAGTTTATAATGTTACATCCTGCTCATTGATACAAATTAATTAATTTTCATGAATTGAAATTTAGGCGGATTTTGAAATGGGGTCAACATTAAATTTGAGTATCCCGGCATGACATCACAATATCATAATTTAAAACCATAATTCCACCTCATGTAATCATAGTCTGTATTATTAATATAGTTATAAATGCTTGCACTATTTTCATTCAGTCTAGTCTTGTATATGTGATGCCTTGAAAGCAATTAGAAGTTCCACCAATCAATTGCTAGCCAAAGAGTGGCAGTCCAATTGTGGGTTGCTGCCGCTAAGCTTCTGGACAGGCTCTGTGTGCCAGTATTTCATTTAATGTTGATGTAACAGTTATCCTAGCGGCCTCCGTAGTCTAGAGGTACCGTTCCCACCTCATGACTCGTAGTACGCGGGTTCAAATACCCGGCGGAGCTCGTCGAATTTTTAAGGACGAAAAGATTCAGGGAACAAGTCCTCCGGGAGGGACTTTAAGCTGTGGGTCCCATGTCGTAGCTTTACGGCACGTAAAAGAACCTCATACCTCCAAAGGAGGTCGCTGAGCCAAAATTGTGGATGTTTCCCGCCCAACAGCAGTCACTAATACCTCCGGTAGATGGGGGAAGCATTATAGATACCTCTCAGCCAGTAGAGCTGGTCTCGCTGGCTGGGCAGGACTGATGGTAAGCACCAATACCGGTAGGATATAGAGACTGGTAGAAATCATAGAGGGAAGCACAATGGACCACTACAGGTCTGAGTGCACGGGGAAACCCACCCTCCCTAATAACTAACTAACTAACTAACAGTTATCCTGCTGTGACTCCTTGTACCATAGTATCACTAATGAGTTGGAGGTCCTCACAGTAGTAAATATTAAGAGTACAGTCTTCTGGGATGTGATGCTGTTTTGTCTGGTAAGTATGTACCAGTGTTCTAAAGAACTGTAAAGATGGATACAGTACGTTCCTTCAGAACATTAGCACTCATCTACAAGACTTCATGGCAGTAGATCCCAGAAACAGTTATCTTGTCAGTAATAATATTGTCACGTGTTGGGTGTAAAACGCGACAGATAACTTCACGCCTTATTGGGTATAGCGAATTTTATTTCACATTCGCTCTTACAATCACACAATTCACAGATTCACAATTACTGCTATTTTCAGTATTACAATTACTACACTGCAAATGCTAGACTACAGCTGAAAGGTTGACTGCCTGGCTAACTCGTAACTTGTAACTCGAGAACTCACTTCGGCATCTGATATGCTTTAGACCGACAACAACTGAACTCGGCAACGGCCACATTTCAACTCGCTCTGTAGGCAGTGTGGTTCACTCATATAGTCGCAGCGCTTGCCTGTTACGTAATCAGTACCGCTGTTGGCTGACGCCTTGTCGACAGCGGCATTGCGTGCCATGTCACAGTGCGGATGGGGGGGGGGACAGAGCACTGACTCATCCGCCACGTCACTGCTGGGTAGCGAAGGGTTGTCCTCCATTGCGCAACATGTCACAATATAATTTACACAAAACATTAGATTCCTTGACTAAATATTTGTATGATAATTCCTCATTATGGGTAGGTTGTGTTAGGTACCCAGATACCCAGAAAAGGTAAGGTTATCTGTTTCATTATTGTCACAGTGTGCTGTATTGTAGCTACATATCTTCTGTAGAATAGCAGTGAAATCAATTCATATTTCACTTTTTGAAACAAAAGGTTTAAATTTAGCTTTAGAGTACTGCATTCTTTTCATGCTGTCATTTCGCTGCTTAATAAACATGATGATGTGCTTATGTTGCCCCACCTTTGCAAGCAGTGTAGTTTGCTGTGAAAGGTTGTAAACAGTTAATTTTTTCTGTTAGGATTTTTCACAGTGATGATTATGTAGAGTTCTCTCTTCAGGGATATAACGCTGTGTGAGGAGAAATGTTGGTTGACTTTCAGTAGACTACACAGCATTATAGGGGTACGCGGTAGCATAGTTGGTTGAGCCACTATGCTACAAGTCGGTTGGTCACAGGTTTGATCCCCAGTGAGGCCATTGGATTTTTCAGTTGATCTAATCCTTTCAGTCTCACTATAGTCCTGGGGTTGACTCAACCTCTAACAGAGAAGAGTACCAGGAATCTTCCTGGGTGTAAAGGGTGGCCGGTGCAGAAGGCTGACAACCTCACCGCCATCTGTGAGCTGATTTTGAAGAACGTGGAAGCCTCAAAGTCTCACAATGCTATGGGCCTACAGGGATAGTGTTACCTCTTTTTTACACATAAAACTCTCTCTCCTTATATTTTTATCTTGCTTGGCAGTGATGGAATGTGTATGGTGTTATAAATGGATGACGACACTTCTGTCAAGTGTTCCCAAGTGCTTAGGATAAAAGAATGCTAAATTTGCTTTTTAATGTGTGATATTTGAAGTTCTGCTATCTTCTGAGATGCATCACCATGTAATTTGATTAGAAAGCTGCCAGTATTTTGCAAGAATCATCTGCCTTCATGTTCAGGGTAAATGAACCTACTCCAACATGGCACCCGTCTCCCAGAGAACATGATGTCACAGTAATCATCACATTCATGCAGTGCTTTACACTATTTGGTTCGGTTTGGTGCAACGTGTGAGACGAGGGAGTCATTAGCCACTCATTGCCTTGTTCTGTTGCAGTGTGGAGAAGAACTATCACCGACGTTATCATGAGACATACGAGAACTCGAGCGGCTACTATGGAGGGGATTACAGTACTCATCTGGGACGTGGCAGTGACCGTGGTGGAGGTCGCGACAGGGCCTCGCCATCAGCTCACAGTGACACTCGATACACCGACATGGCTCCCAAGTATGTACTCCTCAGGTATGGGAATGGGGGTACTTATATGCCCACCAGCATGATCAGGTATGGGGTGGCATTGTCATGTGCTTTCCCCCCCACACACACACACACACACACACACACGACTCCTAGGTTACATATGGGTCACCTGTTTCTGACTTCAGTGTGTGAAGAGATATGTTCATGTGTTGCACATAACTGATATTATTATTTCCATCTGCTAGCATTTGTTTGTGATTTGTTAGCAGATTTCCTGCCCATTTTACTCTCGTTATGTCCCGCTAACTTATTATTTTTAACATTAATATTGGGGAGGAGAGGTCACTGTACAGTATATTTTCCCAACAGGCACTTGATAAGACCTTATAAACTCTGCCAAACATCATGGTTGACTGGTTTTCATGAGTGTTTCAGGTTCAGCTATCTTGCATGAAACTTTTTTTTCTTTTTATGGTTTAGCTCAGTTCCTCCATGCAACTGTTGGGATAGTACCTAGATTAGACCACAGCCACTTGCTTCTTTGGTTGTTCCAGCTCCGTTAGGTACTGGCCATCCTACCATTTGTCACTGTATAATCTCAGATAATGTCAATTTAAAGCCTTGCGATGAGCTGATCAACCGCCCAAGGAGTCCTACCGAGTGTGTAAGATCTAGAAAAACCAAAGTGAATGGAGAAGTTTATAGAGGTAGGCCTAGGCCCACTGGGGCTGTAGTGCCAAGAAGGGGGGGGGGAAGGAAAAGGGGAAAAAAAGTCATTTTAAAATCTTGACCCAGAGTCTGAGCTTTATGACTGAGGCATCTCATGATTTTGTCTCAAGACATACCAGGACAGTACCCCAGACGAGACCATGATCTCTTCCATCCACAGCCTGTCCAATGCATCATACTGTTGGTCAGCATCTAACCTGACATATGGACAGGGATGTTAATTAAATCATAAACAAACAGCAAAACACTGTTAAACTGAAAATGGCCCTCTGTTACTCTTAGCTATGAAGAGACAACATTTAAACCCCCCAGTGTACTAGCTTATGGCATGATTTTATTTAAGGACCCATAAATATCTGAAGTTTAGGGTTTTGGAAAATATATTTGTTGCATTTTTGTAGCCAAGATATCCAAATAAAATCTGGGCTGTCAAGAATCAATCTGTTTATCTGTATTCATAGTTTTCATATAGACAGCACATATATGTATACATATTCCACGTTTCTCTCGGGTAAAGCTATCCCTGTAACAGGCTGTGGAGGCCCATAGGACTGTAGGATGTTGAGGCTTCCACATTTTCTAGACAGTTGGCTCATAGATGTTGGTGAAGTTGTCAGCCCTACACACTGGCTGCCCTTTACCCCCAGGAAGATTCCTGGTACTCATTTCTGTTAGAGGCTGAGTTGCCCTCAGGGCTGTAGTGCAGTTGGAAGGATTAGATCAGTTGAAAAATCCAATGACATTGGGGATCAAACCCGTAACCTGTTGGCTTGTAGGATAATGCCTCAACCAACTGTGCTACCATATGCCCCCCATGGTTTCAGTCACTTACATAAACATTTATCATATTGAATGCCCATTTAGTAAGATTTATGGTTCTGCTTAAATTTCTCGGAAGACCTCCCTTTATCAGCTGTGTATGGAAATATCATTTTTATCTTAGTGCTGTCACTAAAATGCAAAGAAACTTTTTAAGTGTAGCTTGTAGAAGCTTCAGAGAGTCAAAACATATGTAGGCTGTCAATTGTTCTTTTATTTGTTCTGTCCAGTCTCCGTTTTGAAAACAATAAGTTCAGAATCTGGATGTCTGTGGAGAGATGCCTGTCTCAGTGTGTTACATATTGATAGGGAAAAACTTTGAACCCAAGTGTTCTGACTCCAGGTCTGAATGGGATGGTGGATGATCTGTAACTTTTTATTGGCCCTATAAAGCTCAGCAGTTACTATATGTATTGTCTTCTGCAATGTACTAAAACTCTGCGTTCTATCTAAAGATTGTATATTCCATGTGGTTATCACAATAAACCGTGTTTATTTACCTGAACACCATCAGCTAGTTGATCTCTGTAGCAGAGACATGATGTGGTTCCTGTATAGTACAGACTGATTTGAGTGTATTGTTAAAAGAAATTAAGGCTGTAAAGGGTTAATGAAGGTTGAATTATGTATGTACCTGAATGTAACGCATGCTTTATCTTCCTCCTGAAGTTTTTGAACACTCGATTATGCAGTGCAGTATATTTGTATAAATTTTAGTCTGTCAGGTACTTTGGTAAAATATACACAATATAATAGCGGCCTCCGTAGTCTAGGAGTAATGTTCCCACCTCATGACTCGAGGTACGTGGGTTCAAACCCGGCGGAGGTCGTGGAATTTTTAAGGGCGGAAAAATTCAGGGAACAAGTCCTCCGGGAGGGACTTTAAGCCGTGGGTCCCGTGTCGTAGCTTTACGGCACATAAAAGAACCTCATGCCTCAAGGAGGTCTCTGAGCCAAATTACAAGGACGTTTCCCGCCCAACAATAGTCTCTAACGCCTCTGGTAGATGGGGGAAGCATCTAGATACCGCTGAGCCAGTAGAGGCCCCCCCCCCGCCAATTCATTGTTCCTCGATTTGACATTTTTCCTAATTTTACATTCAGTTTTAATGATTGAAAGTCGGTAAACTCGTGGTTAAATATCCTCAGTTTTGTGTTAATATGCACTGCTCCACAAAGAAGCCCCATTTTGGGGTTTCACTGTGACTGGGAGAATTGTTCTTGGTCTCTTAAAACAGGTTGAATCATATTATTTTGTATGAAATTTGTTTTAAGATGGTTATAGGTAGTTCATGGTAGGAGAAAATTCATGACAGGTATCTGGCTGGGTCTTCTGCTTTTTGTATAGCAAGTGCTACGTGTTCATGTGCAAAACTGTGTTTGTGTTGTGTCATGTATTGTTTTGTGACTCTTGTCTTGTGCTTTGCTAGGCATTGGGACTACCCGAACGGGGGTCCTCCTCGCTATCACAGCCCGCCACTGTCCACAGAGTATGAACGACCCCCACCATACTACTACCCAGGCCCCGGGTAAGCATGAATCTCGTGACAGAAATTACAAGAATTCTAGGATAAGGCTTGATGTATTTATTTCTCATAAAATTGCCAGTGCAATTTGTCACATGACTTTCTTTTAAATATTTAATTTCATCCCTTAGTTAACCTTTTAAGGCTTTGTGTTTGATCTGTGGGTAATCCTCATTATATATGAGTTCAAAGAATATGATTCCATTTTAATACTCAGCTGATATAGATGAGTTTCAGTTAATAGTGCTCACTTTAATGTGAACCACTCACTGACCAATCAAGAGGGGTGGGGAGAAGGGTGAGTTGATAATTATGTGTGGATTTTATGGAGGAGAAATGCGCAGGTAGAAGAGAAGATTGTGTTCGATTTATGTGATTTCACTCAGTGTGATGCTTTGGGGGTCGGGGGTATACAACTGTCACATAAATCGAGGAATACCTGTACTTCTTGGTGTTGGAATCATATTGAAATGCCTAAGAAAGGTAAATCTACCTTTAAAACATCAAATGAGATTGGTTTTATAACTGTTTGGCCTTTCATTATGCCTCTGAGTCAGGTTTGTTATCAGCACACAATGGATTGACATTCAGAAGCTGGTCACATTGTCAGTGCAGTAAATACAAGGATGACTATAAAAGTTTTGAGACACTGACATGTATTGGCAGAGTCAGTGGTTTTGTGTGCATAACTTCAGAAAGTGCAATTCCTTGAAGAGTACCAAATAGAAGTTTACAAGCGTTTCAGAGGAACTTACTATCTGCATCTTCACAGTCGAAGAGTGAACCAGGCAGGAAGCAGAGAGTACTTTCCCATGAAACGTCAATGAACTTCTGCTGGCCTGCATGGCGTCACATCCCAGAATATAGCACTCTTCACAGTCATTGCTGTGAGAACCTCAAATCCCTCAGTTTCATGCTTTTAGAACTCTGTCAGTTTGCATGTGTCTTAGGTAATGTAAACAAGAATACATCTCTCATAGCAGCAATATATCTGTCTGGAGCTTAAGAGATAACATTTTTGTGCACTGATTGTATGTAGCTCCATGAGTGGTTGAAATGAAATCTAGGCTCTCAGAATGTTGCAACATATGGTACAAGTCTGAGTACTGTAGAGGATGAACATCTTGCAATGATGAAATAGCAGCAATATATCTGTCTGGAGCTTAAGAGATAACATTTTTGTGCACTGATTGTATGTAGCTCCATGAGTGGTTGAAATGAAATCTAGGCTCTCAGAATGTTGCAACATACGGTACAAGTCTGAATACTGTAGAGGATGAACATCTTGCAATGATGAAATAAGTGGACAACAAAGAACAGGGTGACCGAGAAAAATGTCTCACATGAAAGAAGCAGTTAAGGAGACTTCACAGTTAACATATAGAATGTGAGATCTGAGGTTCTTAACATTGTTGATTGTGAAGACTACTGTCTTCAGGGATGTGGCCCCACATAATCTGATAGATGGTTACCCATGTTTTGGAGGAACTTGCTGCTTATATCCTTGTGGTAGAAATCCTGAAGATGGATGCTGCAGGTTCCTACTAAATGTTGCTAAGAGTCTACCAGACTGTATGTGATCGCATACCTTAATGTGTGTATAAAAATATTTATTCAGTTTGGTTGATTCATTACATGGAGAAGTACTTTCCATTTTAAATTTTGAACATGATAATTTTATTTATGATTTAATCATATTTCTGTAGTGGAATTGATGCAGAATAGGGCCTCTGCTTTCCTGTGTTACACTTTGAACCTGTCTTCTTTTTTCCACTGCTTAGCTCACTTGATATCTTGGGTTACAAAAGACAACACATTTTGAAATCTTAATTTAACTTTAGCAACTGAATTAATTTGCTCTATTTGCACATTAACTGTTAAGTTAGTCTGAATAAAATGTCACGTGTTAGTGACTAGACATGGCATTTGGGTCCATAATTGGATTTATTGAACACTTTTAACTGATAACTACAGACAACTGTAACAATTTCATAGATTACACGCTCTACGGATTACTGTACTTCAGCACACAGAAGTTGTCTCAGTCTTTACTAGTTGTTGCCTGGTAACTGCCCCCACCAGTGCCATGTCCTCTGCTTTCATATTCATGTCCATACTAGCTGGTGACTCTCATCACTGCCTATGGCTGCATCTGATTAAGTTTCCTTGACAGCTCAGCCTTGGCCACATAGAAAACACCGCTTGCAATAGTTCTTCTATTATTGTAGCAGACTGTTACCTAGCAATGACATTTATTGAGCTGTTCCCACATAATAGATGATGTTTAAGTAGTTATGTCACAGTAATCTGACAGGTTTAAGTCTGGAGAATGTGATGAACATTTAGTGGATCTAACAAACTGAACTGTAATGTCATCAGACACTTTTAGTAAGCTGGTAATGTGAAAATAAAATTACCTGCTTTGACATTCAAAATGGTAATTAGTGTAATGCTTATCTTTGTTCTGGAATAGTTAGTTAGTTAGTTATTGGAGAGGGTGGGTTTCCCCATGCACTTAGACCTGTATTGGTCCATTGTGCTTCCCTCTATGATATTCTACCAGTCTCTATATCCTACTGGTACCGGTGCTTACCATCAGTCCCGCCCAGCCAGCGAGACCGGCTCTGCTAGCTGAGAGGTATCTATAATGCTTCCCCCATCTACCAGAGGTATTAGAGACTGCTGTTGGGCGGGAAACGTCCATAATTTGGCTCAGTGACCTCCTTTGGAGATATGAGGTTCTTTTACGTGCCGTAAAGCTATGACACGGAACCCATGGCTTAAAGTCCCTCTCGGAGGACTTGTTCCCTGAATTTTTTCGCCCTTAAAAATTCGACGACCTCCGCCGGGTATTTGAACCCGCGTACTACCAGTCATGAAGTGGGAACGTTACCTCTAGACTACGGAGGCCGCTTCTGGAATAGTTAATCTCTCATTGTCAGTAGCCATTTAAGAATTTGACATCAGCTTATCCCCCCACCATGCTGCCATTTTGCCATACACCACTGCCCTGTCCTCATCTTTCAGCTTACATTCACACTAACTAGCGATTCACAGCAAGTTTCATGTCACATATGTCTGCTCCTGCTATTTCTCTGAGACTATCCTTCCGAGAGTTTTGCAACTATGTTTTATAGCTCTAGTCACTCTAGAAGTTTTCACAGGTTCTTGGCCAACCTTCATTCTTAGCATTGTCCAGAACAATCCAGAAGGGTGGAAGCCTCATTGTTGCCTGAAACAAAGGCTCCTACAGGTACTTCCAATTCCCCTCAATCAAGCAACAATATTCATATGTGTAATAGATCAATCAAACTGAATAAATAAATAAATAGATAAATATACAGTAGAACTTGGTTATAACGTCATCAAAGGGGCCTAAAAATAGTGTCGTTATAAACAAATGTCATTGTAACCAAAATGGGCACTTCCACAGTAGCCTTATGTTAGTCACGTAAAAATCTACCAAAACCCGAGTTAAAATGTTGCATTTTTTTAGTGAAATACGTNATAAAATTTATTACCTTTTAAAGTTTAAACTTTTAAAGTTAATAAATTGTATAGAACATGAGAGAACACATGAGACACTAATCGACATTTTTATCGTTTTTCTAATATATTTGCGCCAACAAGTACATATATACATATATACATTCATGTATGGACATAGTAATTTTGCTTCAAAGTTTATAGTAAATACTGTTGAAGTTTTCGGTTAGTTGAGGGTACGTGTACAGCTAAACTCTTAAGAGAGGAAAATGCAGTTTGTCATTTGGCATGTTTGGCTGTTGCATTTGGGCGCAAGTGCCAGAGCATTAGCTTATCTACTGGTTTGGGTATTGTGAATTTTGCTGAAGTGACAAGGGTTTACTGTTGCATGTCTATGTTTGCAACATCACCTTGATTTGCTCTGACATTTGTTCCTTTTCTCTTTCCCCCCTGCCGTGCCTCCGATGACTCTGCATCCCATCTGTAAGTTACTGACATTTTCCTTTTTGGGCTTGAATCACACTTTTAGATACAGGAGGATTTACAGGGGCTGGCCGCCAACCCGTACTTGGCTAGTTGCATCCATGAACAAGAAGTGATCTCTGCCCAAAGAGGTAGTTTCGTTTTTGAAGTGCGAGGGTTTCATATGTAGTGCATGTCTGTGAACTTGTTCACAGTGCATACAGTACTGGTTACTGGCAATGCACATGATAGAATATGTGCAAATGTAGCCATCTCTTTTCTACCAATTTTTGCGTTTTTAAGTTTTTTTTTCATCTTTAACTTACTTATACATGTAGTATGACAAAGTATTGTGATTGTGATAAAATTTGATCTTCAGATTTTGATGGACTTAAAACTTTTCCAGCACACATCAGTATGAAGAAGTGTTTTTTGGAATACTCTATATCTATGACTGTCACAGGCCCCTGCATGTTTGGACACATTCTAGTGATAAGAAGTGTAGAAGAGTTTTATTTAGTATAGGTAGTTGTCGGGTGAATATGAACATTCCAGCTCCATTAATATGCACCCTTCTCAGGAGCCCTCATACACAAAACTGCAGTTTTCTCAGAATAAACTGTAATGATTATGTTGGAATTTAATTGATTTATGGAGACCATCCCCCTAAACAAAACTGCATGGGAAATATGCTCAGAAAAATAACGCTATGCACACTAGGGGCTCAAATGCATGTATGAGAAAGTATATGCATTGTCTTCGCACTGATGAGTTGGTTAAATTCTCTCACATCAACTAAGCAGAGGCCAGACTCTTGTTTAATTCAAGTGAAGTAAGTTCAGACTTCCAGTTAAATTTAGAAGTAGTCCTTGAAAGTGCTCTTAATTGCCATGTACATATTTATGTTTGCTTGTTACTCTGAAAAGTGTATACACTGCTTCAGTGCCATCTTCTGTACTGTGATATTGTGTAGTCAAGTAGTTCACTATCATTTGGGAGGAACATAGTGCCCAGGTCATCACTACTGAAGAGTAAGCCAAGTGTGCGGCTTGCTCCTGCCTTATTTCTTGCTTAGAATATCTGTGACCCTGAAGATGGATGCAGTATGATCCTCGATAATATCAGTGAACGTTTACAGACTAGACTGTATCGATCAAGTCCTAGAAGATAGTACATTTCATATTACACCACTATAGCCAACTTGTTATGTATCTGTTTGCTTTTTAATGGTAGTTGCTGAATTTGAGCAACTCAAGTTCTTAAAATGACGTTAGAACCCAAATTTTGGAAGGCATAGAGATGGGAGAAACATTTGGCATGTGTTTATGTTATTCGTGTTTGATTTCAGACTTAGTCTCTAGGTGGACATGTATTCTGTTGCCTCTCACGTCATATTGCTGTGTACAGTGCGATGATATTTTCCTTCTGTATCTAGAATAACTCTGTGGCTGGCAATCATATGTTACTCTGGAGCAGCCACAGAGCAGAGATTGCTGCCCTTGTAGAATAGTACAGGGTGATGTACAGTACTGGGGTTGTTACCAGAGATGTTCAGGACCACTTCCTTGATTAAATATAAGACATAAATTAGAAACAGCATGTGAGTCTTCCTTTCCATGTGAAACACTCTTGAAAGATGAGAAATAAGCACAGAATTGCTGGGTTGTTGGACTTCTTCCATCATCTGGTATTCTAGGAGATAGAAAACGCAATGTTACAGAAACTGGATCTGTTTCCATCCTCAGGTGTGGGGGGAAGACACCTACTCAGTTGGGCCCCTTGGCCCAGTGATTGAGATGAGCTCTTTCTAAGGGGCCCAACTGAGTAGGTGTCTTCCCCCCTCACCTGAGGATGGAAACAAATCCAGTTTCTGAAACATCGTTTTTTCTGTCTCCTAGAGTACTGGATGATGGAAAAAAATCCAAAAAACCCAGTAATTCTGTGTTATGCACCATTATCAGAACCCTTTAGAATCTACATAAGGACTGGGGCCACTTGTGCACCAGCAGAAGACTTCTGTCATCATCTGTTTTTTATATGGGTTGATGGATAGATGTCTTCCTTCGCTTAGCCTTTCCTTTTCAATTTCTTGCCGCCCTTTTTGTGTCTTCTGGGATGTGATGCTGTATTGTTATTCTGGTTCACTGATTTGTGGGGAATGTACTGCCTCCATGTTCAGAGTTGAAGAGTATGCAAAGGAGGTAACCAGTAAGAAGCTTGCAGCTTTCTGCTTGCATGGCATAATCTTCAAAATGATGTATGCAGTACATTCCCCCAGAACATCAGTGAACCACACAGCATCACATGATAGAAGCATTACTCTAATGCGAGAACTTCAAGTGCAACATCTTGTTCAGGGTTGATCTCACGGGTCTCTGACCCTGGTATTCACACCTCAGGAGGGGTAGTATAAAGTAGGTGGCCAGGTTGGGGTAGTGATCAGTATTGGAGGCTGAAATGGCCCAGCATGAATCCTGGTAATGTTAGCATTAATGGGGCTTTGGGCATGCTGATGCCAGATGTCAGTAACACACTCAAATCTTGTGTGCCTGAAACAGGGAATTCAAAAGCAACTTTCTACACAAGGGTATGCCTGTTGGTTAGAAACAAATATTCAGCCTTGATATTACCACTTGAGGCAGGAATGTCAGGTTTGTCACTTGTTTGTGCTCTGGCGACATTTTTAGAAGAGCATTTTACTGGAATGTGATGCCAATTTCATCATGTAACATTTTTGTTATAATATTAATCATGGAAACAGTCCTGAATGTCTTTGGTGTTATTTTCTGTACAGTCTTCAGTATAAGAGAAATTCAAACACATTTTTCTTAAGTCGAATACAGTTCAATCAGTACTTTGTTTGTTCTTTTAGAAGAGCTTTCCTTGGTGAAATTAGCTGTAGATTCATGAAGGCATGCATGTATGTATGTGTAGAGCACTTCCTAGCAAGTATCTTTGAACAAGGTCACAGTCAGGTTCCAAGCAATTCCATAAAAACAAGCATCCACATATCAATAGTAGTTTGAAGAAAGAAAAATATATCACAATCGAAACAGTTTGAAGATGACAATGAAATCATTTGTTTGTGGTGTACTGTACAGTGTCTTAAGAACCTTAACTCTCCAAAATTGTCTGACTTTTGGATGTCCCTCTGTGTATGTCAGAATGGTGAAAATGTGTTCAGTAATATTTGGTTTTTGAACTTCATCCATTCACTGAGATTCCTTTGCACCATGGTGGATTGTTGTAGAACACTATCAGTATCGTAGATTATGTAGTGTTAAACGGTAAGATGACTGATGAACTGGAAAGGATTCGGAAGAAGCAGTCATGGCTTAAGCAGGGTGCTATTCTTAAATTTCCTTGGACTGCAGAAAACTACCTGAAACCTCTGTCAGGCTATCCAGTGTCTCAGCTGAGATTCAAACTGAGCACCTCCAAAATACTAGAATTCAAGACAGTCTTGATGGACAAGTCCAGAGGCCCATAATGCAGGCACAAGGTACCATAATCAGAATGCTTTAGAATGGAGTATTCCCATTTTATTTTTTATTTATTTTTAACATTCTGTCTACTGTTATGGTGGTTAATGTTAGATTAATTCAGGCAGTAGAACAAATAACCTTTAATTTACGTTTATTTTATAAAGACTGATATATAACATCTGGGAACTTATCTCATTTCTCAAAAAGAAATTCCACAGATGGAACAGTAGATAAAGTTGCCTGAACCACACAAAGGTGTAATCTGTTCACAGTATATCTAAGAAGGTAACTGGATTACTAAATACTTAATTCCGTCACATAACCTGAAATACGTGGAAGAAAAAGTCCATTAAAATAGACAAACTGGTTGAAGTAATACAAATTTTTATTTTATTTATGTCTCATATTTTGAGAATATTGTTGTGTCAGAATAATAAAATATTCTTCAGGGTTTAAATGCTTCCACTTTGAAAATGGAGGGAGCGAGTTCTCTCCACACTTCATTACTATTTATTGTTTCAACATGATGCTACTGAGCAAGTTGGTGTTAAAGTGGTGGCACTTCAAGGAGTGGCCAGTTGCAATCTCAAGTCTGGACACTGACGATCGTGAGTAAGGTTTTTCATGGTTTTCCTAAATACCTTCAGGCAGATGACAGGATAATGTCTCAAGTTTGGCCATGGCTACTTGTTTCCACATACTTTCCAGTTCAGTGGTCACTGTCATTTGACACTGTAGAGTGTGAGGTGCTGACACCATCATTAAATATAGTGCAAATGCAGAACAGACATGGTGCCTTACCCAGGTGATTACTGTATGGAGTATGAAGCCTGCAGGAACCTGAGTCTTCTTTGTATGTTTGGACTTCTTGAGGCTTCAAAACATGACCGCCATTGCTACTGATTGAGAGCAAAATGCAAGAAATGATTGTCAGTCTTAGTAGCGTGCGCATTGTGCAGGGTGAGTCACTTGGTTGAGAACCCCGGATTAGTGATTACGAATCACACAGTAATTTACCAGTGAAAATGAAACTTAGTGACTGCATACTTTGGTGGATGTGGAGGTAATGTGGTTGCAGAAAATGTTGAAATTGATTTTCCTGTGCCCGGAGACACAACCAACACGACACTGCATGCTAACAGATGTTGCAGCCAGCAAAGTGGTACTAACTGGGCAGGCAGGCACTGGGTCAGTGTTGCAAAGTACACAATGTTGTCAAGTTATGTTTTCATCGGAAAATTATTTCATGATTTATAGTCATTAATTTGAGGCTACTTCCAAGTGAATCACCCCAGAGTTGATTGGCTGCATGGTGTAGTTAGTGTGAAAGGAATTGGTGCAAAGTGTAACTTTCCTTTGTTCGACAGGGACAGCGGCAGGAGGTAGGGCATCGCCATGGTGATGATCCTTGCGCACTGTGATTGGAGAAGAAATATCCCGCCCTGCAAGCTAGACATGCAGTCAGCAAAGATGGCCGTCCAACAGCCCGCCATCCTATCAAGACATATTTTATAAGTGAACACAGCTATTTTTAAAAATTATATCTTGCATGAGAAAACAATAGTCCTTGTGCAGTTTATGATGCTTTGATTTAATTTATGGTTAGGAGAAATGTAGATAAAGCCAAGAGAGAATGTATATTATTGTCAAATTTGAAGACTTTTTGGTCTCAGAATTTGGCAAGAAAAAATGGAAAAGTTGTAGTTGTGTTTTTATTTACATTGATATTTAGCCAAAAGAAATGATCTTACTATGAGTCAATATTTTACCAAAAAAAAGAAAAAGGTGTCTGATGTGAAGAGACAAAGGACACACACACACACATATATATATGTATTGCTATAAACAGTAATAATGTGGTGCATATGAACTCTGCTAAAGATGTTACATTTTTATCTTACAACGTGATATCCTGCTGACTGTAGCCAGCTAGTGTGGTCATAGGATCTTTAAAGTTACATCATTTAATCCTTTCAGACCCATGCCATCAGAATGGAGGCTTCTGTCCCTCTTGTTCCTCATTCTCCTTTTCCTTATTATCATTTATATCTTCAGTCCCCTCCTGCATTATTTTTAGTCCTTCCATCTGCCACTGTTCCATCTCCTCTTCCTTTTCTTCCCCATCTCACCTTTTTTCTTTAGTGTCCTGACACACACAGTCATATGCTCAGGGTTTGAAAGGATTAGTAAAACAAGAAAAAAAGAATAATAGATTTCTCAGTCGTGGACATCTTATTTTTGTAAGTGTGTCTTAAATCTTGCTTGCCATGTAACATGAAGTTGTTGTTTATTGTAAGTTCATTTTTTACTGCATTAGTATAATTGTTATTTTATATTTTATTGTATGTACTCTTGATTTCATTTGTATTTATTATTCTGGTACAGGGAAAGTTGTTATGTTTGCTAACACTGTGTGTTGACAGTCCAGTATGATGTGACTGTACACATCAGCTTGTGTTCTGTTAGGATAGTTGTTCCCGGTACAGTCAGATTCGCTGCTTCAGATGAATGATTATTTGTATGTGTTTCATGTTCCATTTTAAATAGAAATGTTACCCTATTTTTTTTTTTAACTCCCGAAAATTATTGTGTAATGTGGTTCATGAAGAAATGGGTTTTGACATTTCATGTTGCCCTATTCACTGTTCTTTTACTAGCATTTACAGTAAAATCTGTTTACACAAACACATCTTACAGTACCAGACAAATTCATGTTTAACATACCTACTGACTTCTTTACTCCTTGGGTGTACCTTCTGTGAACCTCAGCCCTCTTGCATGATCTCAGCACATTCCAAGTAGAACTATGTAACTCGCTCTCTTCATACGTCATTAGGTTTCTCAACATACATTCTTTTCCCAAGTTGAGGTTGTTAGTCTCATGTGCAAGCCCCAGTCTGGCCGACCAGGGACTGCATATTGTCACGTATTGGGCGTATAACGCCACAAATAACTTCACGCCGTATTTGATATAGCGAAGTTTATTTCACATTTGCACTTACAGCCACCCAAATTACAGATTCACAATTACTGCTATCTGCAGTATCACAAATACTACACTCCAAATGCCAGAATGCAACTGACTGGTTGCTGGCTAACTCGGATCTCTCTCGGAACTAACTCGTAGGTAGCTGCCTTGAGAACTGTTGATGACACACTCGCTCGTAGGCTTGCTTGGAACTAACTCAGAACTGAACTCGGCGACTGCTACGTTACAACTGACTACTCGCAGGCAGCGCAGCTCTCTTATATAGGGGCTGTGTGGGCCTGTTACGTAGCCACGCTGTTACCTCACGCCGTCTTACGTCACTGCGCGTTACGTTACCATGCGGAGGGGGGGAAGGGGGAGCGCTGACTCATCCGCCACGTCAATGTGGCCTGAGTTGCCACGTTGCTGCTGGGTAGGGAGGGGTTCTCCGTTGCGCAACGTGTCACAATATCATCTGATCCTTACCCACCAACCTGTCTTGCTTTAATGGTCCTACTGGGTGCTAACACGCTAGCTACATAGCTGTCCAGATCATCAGGGCATGCATACTCCCACACCCTGCTAAGGTACTTGCCCATGGAGAGATTATTAGGGTTCTTGCTATGTGTAATACAACACTATAATCTTGAGAGTTGTGAGGACTGCTGCAAGTTGGAACCAATAAAGGTAAATTCCCGGATAATACCTAAACTTAGACCACAGTTGCTTCCTTATGAACCCTTTCTATCATCATCTGCCAGTGCTAACTAGTCTACCAAGTGACAGTGTCAGGAAGTGATTACTAAGAAAGAAAGTCTGAGGACCAGAGACATTTTCCTATAATTGCAGGTTTCTGTTTTAGACAGGTTTTACTGTATTCTATTTTCATTACACAAGACTTGTGTGTTTCATGGGCAGTGGGTGCTCTGTTACAGTAATTTTCTGATCCATGTCTACTGGAATCATAGCACACCTGTTCACATGTACTGTCTTATTCACAGATGCCTAGACACTTCACTCTTAATTAAGGGACTGTGTGCAAAATAGTTGTTTTAATATATTACAAAACAGATGACTTTGCAGCTCTTCATATTTTAAGTCAGCATTCCAAAGCCTTTCTTATCTGTGTCACATGAAAGAGACTTTGTGACTCTAGTATTGGAGTGTTCCATCTCCACTTCTGGGTGAAAATGAGACAATTCACCTTCCTGATTCTCCATGTCATGTTGCACTATCTCCACATGCTTCTGCACGTTTACCTTACTTCTAAATTTGAGCTCTCAGAATGTGTTTTGTTCTAAGTCACTTTGAAATTGTGATTGAATCCCAAACTTGAGGCCTAGTTTCCCAAAAACTGTGCTGTTGAACGACATATGCTCCAGTACTCAGGTGATGACTTGCAGCCACAAGTTGCAGGCATACTTTAAAAGGTTGTGGAGAAATCTGTGTGGAAGGTTGTCAGCACAGACGATAAGGAATGTGGGTAGGTCTGGAGATAGCAGGGACAAGCAGAGTTTCTTCTTCTGAGGCATTATTTTAAGGTCATGAGGATTGAAGTTGAAATTAACTTGTGTAAAATGCTGCTGTAATGATATGAGTCCAGGAGACATAGTATTGCAGTGTTTCCTTGCGGATACCATTACTGCAAAAGTAAAATCTGGCTGTCAGTGCCGTAGCAGTATGAGATTTAAACTCATTATACCTGGATGGTAATGGTTAATTGTACACTTATATGTGCTAACTGTACTGTGCATTTTCTAAAGTGGTATGCTGTGTTCGAGTTGAAGTTTTGACACTGGTGATTATAGAAGTTTTTTTTTNGGGGGGTCCTTTCCCCCCATGAGGCCATGTAGTCTGCTGGGAGTTCACAGATTATTTTGAAGAATGTACTGAATCCATCTTCAGGGTCAGATAGTGAGTCAGGCAAGCACCTCTGCTCTCTGCGTGTTTGATGGTTGCTTGCTGGGTTTAATCTTTGACCCTGAAGATGGACGCATATCAATGTCAGTGAACTTACCGCAGACTGCCTGGTGATATATTTCCAGAAGGTAGTGCTCTTGATGTGGTGTGTTCCATGTGACCATCCTGCTACTTCCATTTGGCATTACCAGTTCAACTTTCATTAATTCCTTTTACATATATCAAGTAAAACATCATCACCCGAGCTTCATGAACTTTGTATGGTTAAGTAAGGCCTGTCCTTGAAATCCCCAGAATGGTCTTGGTCTTTCCATCACTGTTTTGGTCTGTTGGTAGCAGAATGCCAGTTGTCAAAGTTAATGTCTTTCCAGTCTTTTAGAATGATTTGTCAGTATCTTTGTGTCTCTTGGTCTTATTCATGACTCCCGGTCTTTCTGTGGTGTCACAGTTATTTGGTAGTCCAATCCGGTAAAGCCCAGTAGTTGTCCCAGATTCAGGTCTGCTGCCAGTACTCTCTGGGATTCTTTTGATAAATTATACTGCCATAATTTGCTTTTAATGTGATACGAATAGAGACAGCATATTCAGGTAATTTTCCTTTGTGTTAAGATTTATGAAGGCCCCTCATTGTGATTACACTTTTGTCAGTAGGGTCTTCTCTTTCTTTAAAGAAAAGATTCTTGACAGTTTGAGGACCGGTCGCATGATATCATGATTTTTGGACACGTTAGGTTGTAACACGCTATACCTTATTCTGGCACCACCTAGGTTGCACACAGCTGCGTAATAAAACTCTGGAATGTTTGCTTACTTGTCAGTAACTTGACCTCGCTGTTTTCTTAAGCCACTATAAAAGAAAATGCTTGCGGGTTCAAGTCCCAATGAGGTAATTGGATTTTTTCGATTGACCTAATCCTTCCAGC